TCATATTTCAGGCCACTTGCTGAACTGATTGTTAACTTTCCTTTTAGCTCTGTGTTGGTCTACACCAACTCCTGAGGGAAAATGTTGCTCTTTAGCTGCTAAATACTCCACTATGTTCACCATCTAGTAGCTCACTGTGTCTGTCTGTTGTTTGGGGCTGGTTAGATAGTGTACAACAGATTTTTAGAGCCTTTAGCTGGAAACAGACACAGCAAAACAGACAAAAAGCTCCATAGAGCTGAGGGGAACAGTCTCAGTCACGTGGTTCACTGTCACTATAAAATGATCGTTTATAACGGCTGTAACGGTTTCAATATTCTCCACCTTAACTTATTGAGTTAATGCCATTTATACAAAAATTAGTACCTGATAAGTCTATTTTACAAACTGGCTGAGGGCAGTGTTCGAAGACGTGATGTCCAAAAGTGTGTCTGGTCGTAGTAGGCCTCTGGCATTTCAGTCTCACAATGAAGTTGTCCCTCCCTGGAAGACCAGATAACACCAAACTGCTCCTCTCATTTCCGTGTGGACCCTCAACGTCCAAGAAGCAGAACATTCTTGTGCAAGCTTGCAACAACACACATAGACACACACAGACACACACACATATATATAAATATTCATACACTCAGACACACGTTGCTGTCCTTGGTCTCTCCCCCCCCCCCCCCCCCCCTTGGTCTCTCTCTCTAATCCTGTAATGCCAACAGTGCAATTAGTCACATGCCAGCTCTTTCTTTCATCTCTCTACTGAGAGGGAGCTCAGGAGGAATTCAAACTGCTTAGTATCAAAACTACATAACCCACCTTCCTCTTCTGGAGTAATACACGAACATGCACATAGCATTAAAATACCTTGATTTCAAACATCGACCTTTCTGATTATAAAACGTCCTTCATTTTGAAAAGACGGTGAACTATGACGCACAACTGCTTCAATCACTCTCAAAAGTCCTGTCTGCTTTGCAATTCAAGAAATTAATGATGAAGGTGAAGATTAAATGTCCATTCAGCCCGAGTATGAATCAAAGGTGACATGAGGACAAACTAAGAGCTGAATAAAGACAGAGAGGATCCCTCTAAAAATGGCCATCATCCCTGTGGTTTTAGCATTCTTTTCTCCTTTACTCTGCGCTCTCCCGTCACGTCCGTCACAGTTAGGCACCATATCTATCACAACCCACTCACAAACAGATACCACTGATCAAAACTACATGAAACAGTGAGCTGTGACAGAAAAGGAAAACAACTGAACAAAAACAAAAAGGATAGCAAAATAGTAAAGCAGCCCCTGCACTCAAGTTAAACAGGCTCATAGTGAATGTCTTCTCTGTACTCTACAGTTACGGTAATTTTGCAGCGCCTGAAGCCACAACCTGATAGTGAGGCAGAGGGGAGCGGAGTACGACCAACTCTTTACATGTCAGTGAGGAACAAATGGCTCATGTTGCTGTTATATGGATGGAGAGCCTAGAGTTATCACTTTCATGCAGGTTATTCCCATGTGTCAGCTAAAAATCAATCTCCATTTAACAGATAAATCCCCTCACTGAGGCAACTTCTAATATGACTGAGACTGCTGATGGATATGTTCACATTAAACACTGATTTTAAACACTTTGAAATTTGAATTTGCGTTGGTGTTTGTGCGAGTGGGTGTGTGGTGCAAAGAGATAGAGAATGAAAAAGAGATTCCCAGATGTTATCTAGCACTGACTAATTATTTATCTGCTAGTAAAGTGATTGGTTCCAGTAAGGTGACAGAACAGTGACAGCCCTGCATTTAGAGCCTGTACTCTTTTCACAACACTCGTTACTTGCATTAACAGGAAAGGTTGATAGTACTACAAGCAAGAGAGAAAATTATTTCTCAAGCTAAAAAGGCAAAATGATGCGGCAATATTACATTTCAGTCAGAGTTGGTGAACAGATAAGGATAATGTCCTCTATACTGATAATCAATGAATTATTTTGGTCACTTTTTTTTTTTTTAAACAAAAATATATTTCCTATTTCCATTATTAATGGGAACATGCTGCTTTTCTTTGTCTTATGTGATAATGAAATGAATATGTTGGTTAGGAAAAAAACAAGCAGTATGAAGATCTCACCTTGGGTTTTAGGCACTTACAACTCATAATTTTCAGACATTTTATAGACAAAACACTTACTTGATTAACTGAGAAAATAATCATCAGATTCACTGATTTAAAAAACAAAAATCTTTCATTGCAGCTCTAATTGCATTAAGATCAACTACCTGTTCCCTTGAGGATTTTGTTGAATCACTGCTCTAATTAGCTGACACACTCATACCCCAGTATTTTAAATTTCTGTCCATTACAGGCTTTGTAATCATTGTCCAAGACTGATGCAAAGTCTTGAATGTTAGATGTGTGTGTGTGTGTGTGTGTGTGTGTGTGTGTGTGTGTGTGTGTATGTGTGTGTGTGGAGACAAATGGAAGTGACTGACACCTTACTAACTAGCCAGATGAGGCTAGGTATTCCTGGTGTTGCCCTGGGCCACACAGCATCCCTCTGCTTTATTCAATGCCCTCTGGCTTAAAAAAAAAAAAAAAAAAATCTAAATTCACTAAACAGAGGAAGTTGTTTCTGAAAGCTACTGTCTGGCAACCATTTCACAAACTTCAAAAGAGGGCGTGGGAATGAAAACAGAGCACACTGTTGCCCATGGACATGCAGTGATAAAACAGCCTCTCGCCTACATGGAAAAATCTCAACCTTCTCTTCCTTTCTTCTTACTCTCACTATTGATGCTCTCCCACTCATTCTCTCCTTTTTCTGTCACATATAAAAACACATATCTCCTATTCACTATTTATTTCTCCAAGTCTCTTAACCATATGTGTGGTAGCTGTAGCTGGGTTCACAGGTCAGGCCACCGGTCTCTAAAAAGGAACTCCTCTGAGGGAAAAAAGCATTGGGGAAACGGCCGCAGGAGAAAACAATCCAATGACCACTTTTGGTCAAAAGCTGCAGCAGTCAGCACCACAGCCTAAAATTTAATTTCCCCTAAAAGAACAGCTATCCTCTATGCCTTTGGCTGCCTATTTTTAGCATGTTATCGTTCAGCCTCTATTGGACCACAGCAGTCAAACTGAGAATGAAGACAGTTGCTGTCAGGCCCTAAACAGCATGGAGCTCTGCAGCAACCACAACTGACTGATCAAAAAGTGTGTAATTTTTAATGTACAAGAAGAGAAAGAAGAAACTGGGATACCCTATCACTTAGAGTTTGAATGCTCAGTTACTATCTGGCTCTGTCACATCAATTCTATACTGTGAGCTGAGGTCATGGTCCTAAGAGACAATGCCAGTGTTCAAGCATGCCATGACTTCACGATAAATCAGTGTTTTCATGCTCGCGTCTAACCGTGGCATCATCTCAAATGCTCTTTGTCCCTTTAACTGACAACTTTTTTTCTTTAAGGGTCTCATTGTGAGTTGCTTTGTAAAGCTGTTCCATCGCTGCCCTAAACGCAACGCCACGTTCACGCGCTCGTGTTGAAAGACAATCGTAGTTAGCACCGAGGAAGCAGAAAGACGGGAGATTTCTAAGATGTCAACGAGTATCGACTGGGGGTGGACAGTGACCAGCAGATCAGTGATCAATGACCCACTTCAGTTATGCTCCGCTCATATTATTGAGCTCATCTGGCGGTGGGTATGCCTCTGAATCACACAGATTTGAATTCATCCTCTTCCTTCCGGCTATAATCTTGTTAGACCATGAGCCCAATGCTGTCTGCATCCTAAAAATGTTGTTTTGTCCAAAAGAACATGAGATGGGTATTTCCGGTATGATTTTAAGTTGTAAATAGACAAGATGCAATTCCTTTGCCATTTGGAAGAAAACTGTAAGTGTGGGTGAGTGTGTGCAGAGCTGTAGCAAGAAAATGATGGGCTCCTACACACAGTGGGTTACTGTGGGCCCTTTCTCCACTTATCTACCAATTCTCAGTGACAAATACCCAAGGATGGATTTCCAGTTGCCTCCAGGGGCTTACTGTACCTAACCTGGTTTGTGCAAATTGTATTGAAAACATGTACGGGAATATGCACCACCAAAGCGCAATAACAACTAACAAGATTAGACCCCCACTTTAAGGGGTCCTGCTTTACGAGGCCTGGTCTTTAAGGCTAAATGTAGTTTATAGACCTTTGTTATTTCAGTTTTGTGCTTTCACATCTCACATTCGCAAATAAATTTCTGTACAAAAAAATGATCATACAACCAATTTAGGGCCAGGTAGTATTCCAGCAGAGAAAAAAATTACACATTGTTCAAACAGTGGGCATTAATAGGGGCCCAGCAGCAAATTTTTCCCCCTGGCCTGCAACATCCACAACTTTATCACACTTCTTGTAAATTTCACATAATGTAACAAATCAATTATCAGAATCTTATTCATCAGCTGACACAAATATTTGTTCTGAAAAAGATAACTTCGTGAAAGTTGATCAGAAGATGTGGGTTAAGCAGCTGGACTCTGGTGGTCATTTGACATCATTTTTAACATTTAATAAAACTAATTACCAATTTAGTTGTTTAGAAAACAAATCAATTGCTAGTTGCCTCTTTATAGGAACACTTTCATTTTTAAAATGCCATTTTCAAGAGTGTAAGATCAGTTTCGATTAAGTCTGAAAGTAAAAACTGCAGTCGAACTGCTATTCAAGCTTGCTCCAGTTTGTCTCACTCATGGTTTTAATAAAAATTTGACAGCAGTTTTGAAACCAGATTTTAAACCAAACCAGGCATAATAGATGTGCCCACAAAATCGTGAAAAACATACTCTTCAAGATCACTTAAGGCATCTTTACCCACACTTAAGGGCTCCCGCATCTTAGTTTGGGGCCCCAGGGTACCCACAATTTTGTGATGGTATTGGAGTCAGGGAGTAATTTAGGCTGTAAGTGGGAAAGACACACATAGGACACACTGTGTTTTATTTTCCTCGCCTCCACATTGTACTCACCTCTCCTCCGTGGCCATCAAAAATTCCAAATATAGACGGGTGACTCTTGTTGACTATGTCGGTGAGCACCTCGAACCTGTCCTCCATGTGGTCTCGCCGGCCTTGGATGGAGTACACGGCCACGTTGTTGCTCTTGAACTCCCAGGTCTTGGAGAACTCCGCATCCAGGACGTCCAGCCCGCCGAACCGCTCATTCTGCATCATCTCCGCCACTTTCCCCTTGACCATCTTGACCGCATCCCGGCTGGACTTGACGATGGTCTTCACTTCGTCCGTGTGGAAGAAGTAACTCCACAGAGCCAGGCTGATACACAGCAGGAACAAGGTCTCCGGTCTGAGCAGAAAATAACGCATGATCCGACCTAACAGAGACAGCAGGGTCATTGTATCCTCTATCATTTATTTATTTACATGCAAGAAATCGCGGCAGGTTGTGTGTCGTTCGCCCCCGCCGCAGATTTCAGTCCATCGTCGTTGGCGTGAGTGGCTTGGTAGCGATGAAACAGGCACATTTAACCGAGCACTTCACACCGGGAAACATTAAGATTATACTGACTTAACGGGTGACACTTCACTGCATTTTTAGCCGGACCCAGCAGGCAGGAGGTAAGGTGTTAGCGAACAATCAAACACGGTGCTCCGGCTGGTTCCCTCTAGCACGCAGCCCCGCAGTGAGCCACCAACGGCTGTCCGCTGACCATCTGATGCGGTCCGACAACACCGACACCCCCCCACCCCCCCGGACAGAAGACGCAGGAAGCCCGTTTGGACTTCAAATTAAGCTAGTGTGTTGGCTATAGTAGAGCGGTGGGCAGAGTCTCTTCCCGGCCAGCCCTGCTACTGTTCCCAGTCCTGAAAATAGCGGACTGTGTTGAAACCCTCACATTCCCAGCTGCCACACTGGCTGCGACTCTCCGCTGCTGCCTATCTAAACTGTGGTGCTGCCTTCAGGTGCAGTTCGTAATGTCCTTCAAACGATTCATTGTGCTGAGCACAGACTCACATTAGACTGCTGGGTAGTTAAAATACAGCGGTGTAAAAATAATCAAATACAAGTAAAAGCCCCGTAGACAAAATTCAACTACAGAAGTGTTATCAGCAAAATGTACTGAAAGTATCAAAGTAAAATCACTGGTTTTTCAGTAACATGTCCCGGTGACTAATAATTTATTTTTGTGACATTATTAGATTGTTGATGAATCACAGTTTAAGCAGCACTTAGCTGAGCTAGTTTTAACTATTTTATATACAGTTAAGTAGTCCAGTGCAGTGGTTACCAACCTGAGGGTCAGGCCCCTCCAAAGGATCACTAGATAAATATGGGGGTTGGAGGGAGGCAGTAGGGAGATAGCTAATGAATGTAGTTTTAAAGAAAATAAAAAAACACAGTTATTGAAATGAAACCATGTAAGACGTTTACAGGAGCACTGAGCAGCAGAAACAGAGTTGCAGCTACCATAGCTGTCTAAATATACAGTATTCCATAATGACATTATGGCTCGTTTTCACTTTAGAAATTTCTGATACCACCTGAAGGCATCCAAAGAACTGCCATACCACAGGTGCTCACAAAAACCACAGACTGATTAATCATGAATGTTAAAACATAGGTGCCCAACTTTACTAATCTCATTATAACAATTGACAAAATCAGATAAATTATACTAAAATTGAGTGCTGAATTTCCCACTGCAACTGCCTGTGGACCCAAGACATAGAGGCCCCAAAAGCCCTTGGTGGCAATACGTTTTTGATCATATTAACTGTAATTTTGTGTGGACATGAACCCCAATATCATGACATAACAAGTAACTTAAGGTGCTCCTGCATTATTACCTGATCCTTGTGTCAGAATCTGGTTTAAAGACCCTTAATATTTCAGATGGGTTTGCGTTTATACATGGCACATATTCCAAAATAATTTACCACACAGCACTTCTGGGGTTTTATTATAATCCAGGATTTATCTCTTGCATACAGTTACTCCTGACATGGTGTGAGGGTAAATTCAATAAAATGTAGGTGTTTTAAGTATGAATGTTCATACTGACACCTGTGTATTTTGAATAGTGCAAGGCGATAACAGTCAAACGCTGTAGACAGGTTTATATAACTGAGAAACACTCGTAACGCAAACAAAACTTACTAATATACTTAATACAAAAAGAATCTACACTGGTTTTACTGTAATGTAATTGTTAAAATTGTATGCAATTAGGCCCAGGACTTGTGTTAAAGGAAAACCAGGATTCATGCACATGCTGTATGAAATTTTTACTGTCCAAGTTATGGCCTGATGCGATACACATTTCTCTAAAACATTTTCCTTATATGTACTTTATTCACTTTGCTGGCTTAGCCTAGACTTTATAGTCTTAGATCATCATACATTTTGTATGAGCCATTTATATTATGTTGCAGCAAGGAAGCATTTCACATCTAAATAGGACATGGTGAAGTTGATTCCCTTTGTTTTCCCTAGTTTTCTCTTCTTTTTATTTTATTAATTTTATTTTTATATAAGTACAATATGATGAAAGTGTTTCATATGTCAAAGCTTACCTTTTATTTTGTTTTATTTTTAACAGTTCTGTTGATACAGTTCCTCTGTATTGTGGATTATCTGCATAAATTAAATGTTAGACCTGTTTAATTTTTTATTGATTATTAATTATCTTTTTTTTCAGTTGGATCTTTTTTATTTCATTTTGAATTTTTTTAAGGAAATTTATTCAGGCATACAAAGACAGTCTCGAGGTCTTTGGGGCCTGACTGACGTCATCACGCCTCCCACGTTCCCTTGGTTGGTAAAAACGTGGAGGACCTCCTCACCTCACAGCCTGTCGTGGATCTGTGACCAAAATAATTTCTGTAAGTTTTGTCAGACTTGCTTTTACTAGTTGCAGTGATTGTATAAGTTTTGATTGACATCGTGGGCTTGTTTCTTGTAGAATTACTCATCAGAAATAGCAGTTTAGCCTTTTATGCTAACTGTTTGATACGGAATCTAAAGCATCAGCTAGCATAATGTTTAAAGATGAGTCTTTATACAACTGTCTATCTGTTCCCAAGTGAACACTTATAAACAAGAAGCAATATTGTTATTTACCTGCCGTTAGTCATACGGTTAGTAGTTGTTAACCAGCCTGTTGCTACAAGCTAGCATTAGCTAAGTCCTAGCAGTTTTGCTATTGTCAAATCTGTTGGCAGAGCTAGTTAAATCTGTCATGTTTCTGTCCTCAGAGCTACACAAAGGTCCACTGACATACTTTAACTTGGCAACTTGACAAGAATGGAGTACATGCAAGCTCCTGCCACAAGCAGCCAGGGGAATATGTAAGTGAAAAACATGTGTCTTTATGTTGTCAAGTCTGCAGTATTGTGTGAAAGTACTGACACGTTATAGATATTTATCAAGAAGGAAAAACACATCTGTAATTACTAACGAAGCTGAAGTTAAGAGAAGTCAAATCTGGACTACATCATCTCAGAAAACGTAAAGACTATATATATTTAATCTGTAAAATAATCTTTTAAACAGCCATTAAACTCTCCCTGTTAATCTAGTCCAGTTAAAAGAAATCTAGTTATAGTGGCTCAGATATAGACTTGGTCTAGTGTGGTCTGGATGGAGAAAAAATGATGTCTCTCTTTTTTGTATTAAACAAATAGAATATAGGTTTCACAAATCTGAAACTATGTTTTAAGGAGTCTTTAGCTTCTCTGGGATAATCTGGTCCAGATTTGATAAGTGTGCTTTTAGTGGTTTTTGATCTGGACCTTGTCATATTTGACTTGGATGTAAAAAAAAATAAATAAAAAAAGACCTGTGAAATTTTTTTTCATGAATTAAGTTTTCAAGGTTTTACCTACAATGCTTAACACCCTTTCACAACAATAAGAGGGGCTACAAAAGGAGAAGTATTGTGAGATAAGTTTCCCTTAACTGCTGAATTAGAAGCGAACTTCAGCGTTGTTAATTATGACCATTAATCATGGTTTTGTTCCATTTGAATGGGCCATTTAAGTAAGCCAGCACAAACAATACCAGGGCCTTGATTATGGTTCGCCTAAATGGAATACAAGCATTATTAAAGATGTTAGTGTTGCCTGTGTTTGTCACATCTTTGCCTTTTTAAAGAATGTAATAAAGCAGATATTTTTTCTCTTGTAGTGATCAGAAAGAACATCATGATAGTTTAGTATATAATAATAAAGAATTTGGAAACACTGTAGATCTAGAAATGTATGGTAGTAAACATTAGGTCACTTACTTTTGTTTTTCAAGAACAGTTCATTGCCACATTGCAGTGTATTCACAAGTTATAGGAGGAGTCCTTCTGAATTCCACCAAAAGATCCCAGCTAATAGTTTCTCCTGAATCTCTGCCCACAAAGCTGCTGAGAGCAACTCTTACTAAGAAATGGAGAGCAATTGAAATCTGATAATAGAAAGGGCTTGGTTGAATCAGTTCCCATTTATAGCACCATCACACTAAGTGAAAATGGTTCCTGGAGGATAAAGGGCTACATGAGTTTGGTAGTTTTTTGTACAATAAAGGTTACTGTTTGCATTCTAGGATTTAAGTCTTGAATGTCAAAGTTTCCTAAATAATCTGGGATTTTATCTGATTTACAGCACTATTTTAATGTAATTTTGACAAAACAGTAGTCATTTAAATGTTAATTCTGATGATTCATGATCTCATGGAAAAGAAATGACTTGCATTCATTGCTAGAATAAACTGATAGAAAGAAGGGAAAACACAATAAAATAAGCAATATTTTAGGAAATTTCCAGCAGTAATGGGCCGCACCTGTTGTCTTTATTGAATAGTCTAACACTCCAAAACCAAAACTTTTTGTGAGTCTTACTAATGTTGCTTCTTCCTGCTCCAGCCTGTGTTGCACTTGTGGCGTCCCTATTCCTCCCAACCCAGCCAACATGTGTGTAGCCTGCCTGCGTACTCAGGTAGACATCTCAGAGGGAATCCCCAAGCAAGTCACTGTGCACTTCTGCAAGCAGTGTGAAAGGTTTGTTTCAGGCATTTTTTTATAATGGAATACACACATTGTATCATTGTTTCCCTCCAGCAAGCATCTACACGTACAAAAAGTGTTTTTCTTGAGAAATTTTGTCGAGGAAAGTTGAGGCTTTAACGTACATCTGCTTTCATTCAGGTACTTGCAGCCTCCAACCACCTGGGTGCAGTGTGCCCTGGAGTCCAGGGAGCTGCTGGCACTGTGCCTGAAGAAAATCAAGAGCTCTATGACCAAAGTGAGTATGATTCTTCTCACTAAACTTCACAAAAGACAATAGCATGTTTACACTCGAATAAAAGACACAAACGTAAAATTGTATATAATATTGTGCCCCTCCACATGTTTCTGATTTGACATGATGATGTGCACATGGTTGAACAATTAATAATGAAATATTATTGAAATCGCAATATGGCGAAGTGCAGTATCCAAATCGCACTACGTTTTTTTGATAAAGGTAAAATATGTCACAACATACCATAAATGAGGCATTGTGATGCTACAGAGATGCCCCTGCCAAATCATATTCTCCAGATGTAAAGGGACATAATTGTTTGGCACATGCCCCAACAAAAATGACATGGTCATTATTTAAATATTGTGTTCAGTGAAAGTGAAATGCAAAAATGACCATTTCTTCTGAAATTGTGACTCATATCTCAATTGCACTACTTGCCAAAATAATTGCAATATGATTTTTTTTCTGCATATTTTTCTGCATAGCCCTGATATGCACCATGGTCACCATCTTTGAGTATTTAACCATGGATCATGCTACTTAATGGATTCACCAACACCCCTCTCCCCACAGGTTCGTCTTATTGATGCTGGTTTCCTGTGGACAGAGCCACACTCCAAAAGGATTAAGATGAAACTGACTATACAGAAAGAGGTAAGAAAACAGAATGAAAGTGATAAGTGTGGGAGAATGACATTCTGCTCCAGGTGGCAGTTTGCAAAAAGCAAAGTCTTTGTTTGAATTTAAGCCATTTGGTTAACGCAAAAATAATAATGTCAAAGTGTAACATACATCCAATGACCACAAGTGGCCGTCTGTGACAGTGAGAACTATATATGCAACAGACTTTAAGATAAACTCTTGAAACAGAGTTGTCTGTTCTTGACTGAGCTATGTGTGTTTGAGAGAGGTGAGTTTTGCCAGGGGCTGTCATGTCATCTCCTTGACCTTTAGTGAGAACCTGAGCCCTGTGCTTCCTGGGAACAACACTTTTGTTTGTGCTGTTGGAGGGTCTCTATAATACTGTCTCCAGATCGCAGTGGTTTGATATTTTCTAAATGGCTCAGAGAAGGAAACATGAAAACCAAAAGTTTTCTTCCCGAAAGACTTGGTTATTGAATGACAGAATGACAGAGTTTTCGTCGCTGTTTGCCATGCGGTTCGAACATATGGTGTAACTTGTTGCTGTCTTTCCCTCTCCAGGTGATGAATGGCGCTATCCTCCAGCAGGTGTTCGTGGTCGAGTTTGTCATCCAGTCCCAGATGTGTGACGACTGCCATCGTGTGGAAGCCAAGGACTTTTGGAAGGCCGTGGTGCAAGTTCGACAGAAGGTAAGCGTGACCGAAAAAATGTTTTGCTTATCTCCTGTTTTGCTTTACTTAAACTAAACTTACACACTTTCACCTTTTGACAGTATTCTTAAATATGCCATGCATGCTTCTCAATATACTTAATTTTATGAAGTATTTTATTATTTGAAACATTAATAGTGGTTTTATTTTGGCAAAGGATACTTTCAGGAAATCACATTGTGTAGGTATCAGGCAGAAGGACTCGAGAAGGGCCTTGAAAATAGGCTAAAACCATACATGCAAGTAAATAAAACTAAAGGGCTGCAAAGGTTATAAAATGTATGACAGGTATTAAAAAAAATGTTGGCCAAGTACATTTTTTTTCTCCTGCACCCTTGAAATCTGAGCCCATACTTCACTCACTTCAAGGTATTTTATCTTGGTTGCCCTAAATTTTCCAATTTAAATCTTCTTTTTAAGTTTACTCTGTCTTTTCACAATCCTGTTATTCTGTGGTAATTTTGCAACTGCATATTAAAGCATGAACCTGAGCCCAGTAGGTTTTATGTAAAACAAATATAGAGCCCTTGGTATTTGGCAGGAAATACCGCACTTAAACCTAGGGTTGCACTTTTCCTCTTCTCACTGATGTGTGGAGATAAACCAAGCTTAGCTCCTGCCCTGCAGTGGCTGTAGACTTGTGAGGTGATTACTCAGAAACAGGTAAGATCTGCCCAAATGTATATTTAGACCTTGTAACCTCTGTTACAACCTCACTTAACAAAGCTAATATACCATGCTGATTATATAACTGAGCACTGTCTGCAGCCACTTCACACTAAATGCCAAAGTCATTTTCTCTTCACTGACAGGCTTTTACTGTGAAACAGCTATCTTGGAAGTTTGAATTAACAGCATGAATGTCTACTTGTTCTTACTTGTTCTTACTTGTTCCTCAACAGCCCTTTGCCCCTGTGATGTTTTTTTTACCAACTACACTTTGTTCAGAAGTAAAAAAAAACAAAACAAAAAAAAACACATGGATAGCTGCAAGCACTGCAGTTTTTAACTGGGGTATTTTTTTTGAAAAGGTCAAAGGAGGCAACTGGCCATGGCAGATGCTAAGCTGTTAATCCAATTTTTACAACAATAAATGTTTAAATACTTGGGACATAGGGCTGGAGAGATTCTATGAATCTCCGTATGTTAATAATGATGCTGAGATTTTTTTTTTTTTAACAGACTGTTCATAAAAAGACATTCTACTATCTAGAGCAGCTGATCCTCAAGCATAAACTTCACCAGAATGCCCTCAACATCAAAGAAATCCATGGTAGGTCAATGGCATATGATTTAATATATTTCATTATTTTTCATGTATGTTAGTATACATATCTCTAAAGGGAGAGGCCTGCTCCTTAGGGCTTCTAACCGAATTACACTGAAAAATCGGAAAGTTGTCTTATTCGTCACCAGCGTAACTAATGTGGATTAGAACTAAGCGGAACATAATGATGTGTCGAGTGTTAATTACCGCTTCCCCTACCAGACAGCAAGCCATGCATGCATATCACTGGCGCCAATCACTTCATACAGCTGTCCTCGTGTGGGCCTCAGAGGGGCATGCGTTGTGCATCTAATCAGTGTGCTGTAATCAGAGCAGGCATTCCATCCCAGATTCCTGCAATGCAAGCTGGCTTCATACCCTGTTTAGAGATGCTAAGGCCCACACTGTGCCCACACTCAGACACACATGCTGTGCGTTGAGTGACAGCTCAGCAGTGGCTCCTCTGTGCTCTTGGACAGGACTGTGAAGTGGGGTTTGGCCCGACGGTGTAATTTAAATCATCTCCACATCTCGGCAGGACTTAAAAGCTTTATGAAGGTTACAACATGTGGTTGCCATATTTCCTTCCATCGTCATCTGCTCCCTTGTGTGTGTTGTTTGCATGCATATGAATTCTGCAATGGTGATGACCCGTGAAGTGCGCCTGTGATGAATTTATTGGTGGAGGGTTTGATGGTATTGCTCTTCTCTCTCAGAGGGGATTGATTTCTACTATGCCTCTAAGCAACACGCTCAGAAGATGGTCGACTTCCTCCAATGCACCGTGCCCTGCAGGTGAGCAATGCTCCAGTCTGTGATCATGAGCGTTATGCTCATGATGCTCAGTGTTAAGTCCATGCTCCATTTTTAATTTACATGTATTTAGATGCTGAGCACAACCTTTAGAGTATTCTAACTGATCACCACCAGATTCAGCTGGTATGCTTATGTTATGAAATTAGTGGAAAAATGTGGAGATCATTTGTTAGCAGGTGTTACAAAAATGTGGGGTGTAGATAATAAATTGTCCTAATAAAAACTCCATTAACAAATAATGTATGAAAAACCAAGACATTATTTTAGAAGTGTGTTTCTATCACTACATGTATCATTATTAGTAAAGAAAAAAAAAAAGGCTTATAAGTGTTGTTTCCCGATGGCCGAAACTAAAACATTGCGTAATTAGTCACCTGAATGTTGAGCTAATATGTCGACACGACCTCCAGCAGCTCAGACTAGTTAAACTGCACAATACCCTAGTCTTTTCCATGTGTGCACAACATCCTATTGAATCCAAGCCTTTTTGTTGTGACAATTTGTCCAACTGGCACAATATGAACTCTGAATGACGTCTGTGATGATATAACAATAAAAACTTTTCTTTTTCATTTTAAAGGTCAAAGACTTCCCAGCGTCTCATCTCTCACGACATCCATTCAAACACGTACAACTATAAGAGCACCTTCTCTATGGAGATTGTACCTGTCTGCAAGGTACACTGCTATGTGTTTTGTTGATTCCTTGTTTTAGTTGGCTTTTTATGCTCTCAAATGAGCCACTGTTGAAGCTGAGCCGCGCCCATACTTTCACCTCTGAAGCCTTCACTTTTAGTTTTGTAAAAATGTTGCATTAGAAAGCTGTTGAAATTTCTGCTGAATCGCAGATGTAAACCTGATGCTGGCCGAGAATCTTTCATGTTATATTTGTTTTTGATGGTGACAAGTGATAATTAATGGAGCGTATTGAATAGTTGGAAAAACTTAATATACTTTAACATTAAAACTAATGTAGGGATAGTGTTTCTTTGCAGGTGTGTATTTGTCATTTTCAATAGCTGCTTAATCCCATTTGACATGCAGCTTCAGTTCTGTGTTTTAAATATCAGTACATGAATGACAGGGGTCATACAGGGCATATTCAATAAATGAAAACAGGAATTTGAATAGACGGACACATTGTGCACTTCTATAGAAAGTCCAAAGTCTTTTACTTTCCCCGTGACCTCAGTTTGACCCTGTGCTGTCTGGTTGCCAGGACAATGTTGTGTGTCTTTCACCACGTCTGGCGCAGAGCCTCGGGAACATGGGTCAAGTGTGTGTGTGCGTCCGTGTCACCAGCACCATCCACCTCATCGATCCAAACACCCTGCAGAGTGAGTATTGTAACTGCCCACTGAGTTTTAACTGACACCACAGTCCAATTCAGTGACACCATAGCCTGTTGTGGTTGAATATGGTGGAGTCAGCAAACACTGTGTTTTATAATAATAATAATCTTTATTTAAAGAGCATATTTCAAAAACTTGAGGTGAACCGTGCTTCACACAAGGAATCAAAATCAAGAAATTATAAAATCTAATCCGTGGGAGATTAACTGGATCAGAGTAAAATAGATAAATTCCAGTTATATTATATAAAGAAACTAAGACACTGTTCAAGTGAAATTAACTAATAACTCATAAAAATCAGCATAAGTTCTCCTCCTATAAAATTGGGTTTCTTAAGATTTCTTAAGATTTAAAAGAAGATACTGACTCAGCCAGACGTTTCCTCAGGCAGGTTGTTCAGGGCCTCGAGGCCTGTCTCCTCTGGTTTTCAGCACTTGTAGTTTTTAGTCATTAAAACTCAAAGGTGCTCAAGTTCTCATTTATTTAGTAATACGGGCTCTATGTGTAGACATTGTGAAAGATCTGATGTACAGCAGGTTAGAACATTTCCATACTCAGTGAGGAATTCAGCCCACGATTTAGTATAGTGTCAATTTTACTGCAGTACACTGGGTTGAGTAGACATTCAGGTATACTGTTTAGTGCACTTGTTAGACTTGGGTGATATCAAAAATTTATCTCGATACAGTCCAGCCCAGATATCACGATATATCGGATATCAGCCCAAGCGTAGCTCTAGATTTTATGCCTCTGCACCAGTGCCAGCCGTGACCAGAGGCATTAGTTTTTGGATCAGCCATCTGTCCATTTGTATGTCCCATTCTCGTGAACACGATATCTCAGTAAGGATGAACTGATTCGATTTTAGTGGTCAAAGGTCGAAGTTACAGTAACTTAAACACATTTTTGGCCATAACTCAATAATTTATATGCTAATTATGACTCAATTTAAAACAAATTTCTTATTAGGATAAAAGGCGGTACTAGCTTCTTGAAGTAAAAGAACAAAAAAACAATGTAATTTGTCTTGTCTGATGAATCTGGTTTACTGCTGAGGCAGCAGATGGAAGGGTCAGAATTTGGCAACAACAGCATGAATCCGTGGACACAACCTGCTTTGTGTGAACAGTTCAGGCTGGTGGTGGTGTAATGGTGTGGGGATTATTTTGTTGGGCCCCTGAATACCAATCAGTCATGGTTTGAATGCCACAGCCTAACCGAGTATTGTTGTTGACCATGTGCAAAAGTCATCTTCAGTACACTTCAGTGGTCTCCCCACTCACCACATCTGAATCCAGTAGAACACCTTGTCGATGTGGTAAAATAAGAGATCGGCAGCGTTAATGTCTGTCTGACAGATCTGCAGAGATGATGTGATGCAGTCATGTCAACATGGAGCAGAATCTCAAATGAATGTTTCCAACATCTTGTAGAATCCATTCCACAAAGGACTGAGGCGTGTTCCCAATAAAGTGCTCAGTGAATGTAATCGAGAGTCATTGCCTGGGTGAAACCCTTCAGTGCTGCACTAGGCTCACCTCAGTCTGCTGACCACATGTTCATCATAGTTGTTTAAACGTTTAACTGCTCCCCTCTGTTCCTAGTCATGGCACAGCAAGAGACACACTTACAAAGAAAAAAAAAACACACACATTTCCAGTTTGCATTATGTCTGCTGTCATAGCCAAGTCAGCGTATTCAGAGGGGGTTTATAATCAATGCAAATGTGGTGACAATTAGCGATGATGTGTTTCTTCTGTATCTGGTGTAATCACTCATTATGTGTGAGGCTGAGACGCTCCTCAACAGAATTCTGACATTTTGGAAGCAGCACACACGTTTTTAATTACTCTTCAAAGAGCAGGCTATTTTTGTTGCAGAAAGTTTTTGAGCAAGCTGAATAGCAGAAACAGCCTGGAGGCAGAGCTCTGTTCGGCGGATTTAGGCTGCAGTAGGCAATTAACTCAAGTATTAAGAAATATGTGTGTTGCTGTTCGTCTGCTCGTGTTCACTTTATTTGCAGTATAGACAGAAGAGCATCGTTCCTGTCTGCTTTGTTTGGAATATGTATAGTAGAAAAATACATTGGCAGGCACATCAGATTTTTATTAGGCTTAGTACCCATATAGTTATTAGATAAAAGGATCTCTATCTAACTTTTCAAGTTCTTTAACTCAAGTAAAAATGAGAGGGTACTGTATAATTTGTGCTCACACTTCTTAACTGACTGCCCTATTGACTAGTCTTAATAGTCAGCAATAAATACATGAATAATGTCTTGCACACTAGTTGCTGAGGTGGATGGGAACACATACTGGCGTAACCCCTTCAACAGTCTCTGTAACCCACGGCAACTGGAGGAGTTCATTGTCATGGACACTGACATCATCAGAGACCAGAAGCTGGGTGCCGGAGCAGGCTTGAGGTCCAATAAGGTGAGCATATGTATGTGAGTGTGTGTGTGTGTGTGTTGTTGCAGAATAGATTGTATTATGCAGGAACATTGCTCTTCTCTTGGAAGCAAAATCAATAGCAAACCATTACATTATCCCTGAACCTGTATGCTGGATTCAACAGCAGTGTTTGTTTCAGTGACAGGGTGGAATGAGGTTCATTGGAACAGTGTTCGCTCTCTCTCTTTTCCTCTGTCTGAATGTTGCATTATTATCAATGCAACCGTCGGAACAGATTGGAGGAAGGAAACAAGAGTGATGTTCTTGAAACGGGTTTGAAACTACATTTATATTCCCTCTTGTGTGCATTTGTGTGTGGGTTACAGCACACCCTGGCTGAGGTGTGGGTTCAGAAAACATCAGAGATGGATACCAGTCAGCAATATCACTGCCGTACATTCCTGGGCCATCTGCTCAACATTGGAGACCTTGTGCAGGGGTGAGTATGAAGGGTTGACGAGATGTTCAGATGACAGTCAGGTTGGCTGTAAAGACGGATGGCAAGCTGTGAGCTTAACACTTAATGGAACATTTACTTCTGATCCTGCAGGTTTGACTTTGCCAATTCCAACATCAATGATGAATACCTGAATAAGATGAACCCTCATCATGTTCCTGATGTGGTAAGACTCAACTGCACTTTTCTGAACACCCTCAGTGATAAACCTGGGCTTCATCAGTAGTTATTGTTGACTTGATTAACACTGACCCCTAGTGGCAGCATAAAATACTGTGTAGATTTAATAGCATTCTTGGAAAAATACTACATTCCCACAAGGAATCATGTAAGAAAACTATGAGGACAGTTTTTTAGTTTTTTAATTTGTACAATGTGGGCTGTCATAGGTGCTGATCAAGAAGAGCTACGACCGCAGCAGGAGGGTGAAGCGCAGGAACTGGAAACTACAGGAGATGTCCAGAGACCGTGATGGCATGGACACAGATGATGAGAGGTAGGATAGTAATGTGAAGCTCATATATCATTCTCATGAAGTGAATTTTCAGTCTCAATCACATCCTGTCATTTTCTAAAGAGCAATCCAGCATCCATCTTCGGAGGTGACTCAAAATAAAACTAGAATGACGGTGTTTATTGTAATAAAGGAACATGTCAGCCGGTGCGACTGTGTGCCTCACTTATGTGTGTTTAGTAGCAATGGAGCTTTATAGCACAAAGGAATACGCTGTATCGGGCTTTGGCTAGACAGACAATACTTGTTTGTACTGTCTGTGTGGTCAGTACTAACAAGTTGGTTTTGTTGACAAAAAATTGTGGCAGACCTATACTTTCATGTGAACGTGCTTGGAAAATCCTGTATCTAGCTGCATGAAGTATCTAATGAAAAAATATCTTTTGTAGTTCTCATTAAATATTTTGACAAAAAAAGATAGGTGCATAGATTTAGAATACCTTCTCCTTAGAAAGTACCTTTTTAAATAAAGAAGTTTCTTCCACATGTGCATTTTGAAGAAATTAGGAATTTGTAAAGGGTGTTTTCTGAACAAATGTCCACAGCACAGAAAATATGGGAAAACACTTAAGATACCTGAAATACTGACTAAAGACCTGGCATTGTTTTTGGTCCGTTGGTGAATAGTTTGATAATGTGCCAAAATGCCATGTATCCTGTAAGGGTTTTTTTTAGCCTGTAATGCCGTGCCACATGGGTTTGGTCTTAATTTCTTTTCTGTCTTTAGACAATACCAGGACTTCCTGGAGGACCTGGAGGAGGATGAGAATCTGAGGAAGAATGTCAACATCTACAGAGGTGAGCAGCTGGATACTGCAGACTTTCTTCTACATCAGTATCCAAAGAGACTTCAGCCCTTCTGTTGATATATTTATATTTCCATTGTCAAGCTATGGCAAATTTACTGTTGGCGCCTGCTTAAGTTGCTGGTAGAACACACTGGGCACACTGTTAATTATAGCTAATGTGTTGGATAGTTCATGAAAACAGGTTAATTCTTGAATTTCAGATGCATCAAAAATCCCAGTGGAGAGTGACACTGATGATGATGGAGCACCGCGTATCTCCCTGATGGAGATGCTGGAGGAGCTCAGCCTATCAGATGCCACAGGAGGAGAGGGTGCCGACATGATGACAGACTAACCAGTCGCCATCCTGCCTGTGTGACACTGACAGCTGATCTGTCAAAACACAGGTCCGCTGATGATACAGTGATACAATTAGAGCAGATTGAGGACTGATAACACCAGTGATAGATGATATTTCAAAATCCATAGTTCTTCTGACTGTGGTGTAATGACTCATTACAGTTAAAATCCATAAACATACGGATTATATTGGTGCCACTTAGTAACAAATACGTTTCCTCAGAGAAACTGGACTTTGAGTTGTTTCAACTGATCATTTACTGGGCCTGCAAAATTAACATTTTCAGTTTCTTCTACAGTACTCTTTTCCCCTTTGTCATGTAGAATTTTTGAAGTGATGTGGAAATAGAGTGCTTATAATCCACTATATCAAAATAAATACTTGCCCTTATAGATATTTTCTGCTCGGGGATGAAAAAGACATTTGTTGTCAAGTGCTTTGCTGTTGCCATCCACCAGAGGGTGCTTTGGGCCACTAAGAAAAGGGAAGTAAGGCCTTCAAATAGCCACACTTGCAGTGAGCTGATCCAAACCTGTTAATGGTGTAATTTGGATACCATGGGTAATATTCAAATATTCACCCACCACCACCACCTGTTCAGAGAGTGCTGTCTGTACTTAGATATGGGCTGAGGCTGATCTTGTGTGAGCCTTAAAAACCCCTTAGGAGCACTTTAAAATGACTTAAAAGAGTTAATATCAAAAGTTTTTGATGATCTCTGGTGATTTTGGGAATGTAAAACCACAACATTTGCTCACACACAGCCTTCCTTACAGCATTAATCCAAACCATAATTTAACTTAGTTTAAGATTTATGTGTGTCAGCAGTTTTGTTGCATGGCTGTGCAGACTTGCTGATATGAAGCTTTATGTAATCTAAGACACCATAGGAATGTTTGCATCACAGAGTGAATCAGTCTTTGTGACATGTCTCACATTCTAACTTGAAGAGGGAGGAGGAGGCGACGGCGGCTGTCTTGTTTTTCACAGACCTGAGCTGGTTTTTAACGGTAATCAGATCTACTTGGGAAAGTGAATGAAGTGAATCCCCTCAGGGTGTTTGTGTGTGTGTGTGGGTGGGGGCAACAACAATGTGGAGTAGGGGTTCTGCTTTTTTTTTTCTGATTTTCTGTTGACCTAATTTTCCTCACCATTTTTGCTTGTGCACAAACTGAGCCCATGTGACCCAAATACTTTCCCTCCAGACCCCTTTACCTGTGATTTCTGGTATTACAGACTGACTTACCAGATATCATAGGACCATTGTCATGTTGTGATTTTGCCTCGAGTGCTAAGGGATAAAGAGGCTGTTATTCTGATTTGAATAGTAATTTCCAAAGTACCTGCAGCGGAGCAGGTTGGGACAGTTCATGTAAAGATCGCAGTGGGTAACCTCTGTCACAAATCTTTTACAAAGTGCTGTTCAGTATGTGCACGGTGAGGATGTGTTCACTGCTATACTGTGTCTGACATTTCATACCAGTCCTCATCCTTGTGACGCTAACAAACTCGTAGAGTGTATCGATGCATAACTGGTGCGCCACGGCGGCACTGCCCGTGTTTACACATCAATAATGCATAAAGTTAAGTGTAAGAATACAGCAGGTCAGCAAACCCTGGGAAGAGGAGATAAGGTTTCCTAACTGTATGTCTGTCTGATTGCTCCAAAACAAAGAGGCACCTTCTCAGCTTATACTTAAATTTCTTTTCCATGGGTGTTTGGGTTGTGTGTTTTTTCTCTTGGTTGTCCTTTTTTGAAGGTGCCACTCAGGTTACACATTTAATCCAAAAATGCTTTTCTCAGTTTGTTTAGGTGGGGACTTGGAAGAGAAAAGAGACAAAGTTAATACTTTTTCTGAATATATATATTTTTGTATCTGAGTGAGAATAGTAGGCTTTGTTGGTTTTCCAAGACAAAGTGCTACAGCTCTTGTAGTTAGTCAACTCTGTGGCTACTAGTGCGTAATACAGTATATTTACAGATTTAGCACCTGACAAGTCACACACCTCAGTTCTCTGTTCCTAGTCTCTGTATGCAGTGCAACATCATCTTTCATCATTTTTGTTTCATAGTCATATACAGTGCATTCAAAAAGTTTTCACTTTTTTCATATTTTGTTATGTTGCAGCTTTATGTTAAAATCATTTAAATTCATTTTCCCGTCATCAATCTGCACTCAATACCCCCATAGTAACAGTGAAAACACAATTTTAGAAGTTTTTGCTAATTTATTAAAAGGGAAAAATGGAAATATCACATTGGTGTAAGTATTCAGACCCTTTGATGTGACACTTGACATGTAGCTAAGGTGCCATTTCTCTTGATCATCTTTGAGATATTTCTACACCTTGATTGGAGTCCAGCTGTAGTCAATTCAGCTGATTGGCCATGATTTGGAAAGGCACCAGTCTTCAAAAGATCTCACAGCTGAAGATGCACATCAGAGTAAAAAACAAGACATGAGGAGGAAGGAATTGCCTGCAGGGCACAGAGACAGGATTGTGTTGAGGCACAGAAAAGGACAAGGCTACAAAAAGAAAATCCTTCTGCATTGAAGGTTCCCAAGAGCTTGGAGGCCTCCATAAGTCTTAGATGGAATAAGTGTGGAACAGCCAGGACTCTTGCTAGAGTTGCTCGCTCTGGCTAGAGCTGGCTGTGCGGCCAGGCTGAGCAATTGGGAGAGAGGTGCCTTGGTAAGAGAGTTGACAAATCCTGTGGGGAATCATTTGAATTTGCCACAGGTTGGACTCCAATCCAGGTGGAGAAACAAATCAAAGATAATTAATGGGCGGGACCTGAGCTACATATCAAGTGTCATAGCGGTGTCTGAATACTCGATATGAATCATGTATTTGCAAAAACTTTTAAAAATCAGTGTCTGCCTTGTCTTTATGGAGTGTTGAGTGTAGATTGATGAGGGGGAAAATTTGAATTTAGCATAAAGCAGCAACATAACAAAACGTGGAAAAAGTGAAGGGGTCTGAATACTGCATGTGACACCAAATAACGAACCTTTATGTTTACTTATAGTAACTAACCCAAACTACAACATTCCGAGACTGCGGTACAAGTACACTAGAGTTTTCTGTCTGTCTGTCTGTCTGTCTGTCTGTCGTTGTAACCTGTGCAGCAGAGCCGCGTTGCTGCCGCCGCTGCCTACGTCAGAGCTGGTACTGCGGCGCAGTGTCTGGCTGCAGCATGGTGGGACGAATGCGCAGAAGGATGCGGTACGGCTTGAAAAAAGTTTAAAGATGCTGCACCAAGCAGCGGACTTTGCATGGCTGCAATAGAGCTGCAACCAAGACATCGACTCCTCCTGTGCATCAGATGTTAAGACTGTTTTCCTCTGGCTGCGTCAACACACCGGCCTACGCGTTAAAGTCCGCTGTCACTCCACCTGCATGATCTGTGAGCCAGGTGAGTCGTGAGTGTTGAGCACGAGTAGTGGGTGTGGTGTCATTCTCACAGTCTGTATGACTAGCCTTGTACATATCGGCCAGTGGCAAACTGGTGAGGCAGCTTTTGGTTTACACAAAGCAGCGGAGCAGCAGCGGGACGCGCGGGCTGTTGTCTGTGGCTCATCCTGTAATAACCTCCATCAGTAGTAGATATCCAGGGGATCTCACGTCGGCTGCAAAGGTGAGTCTACAGCAGGATTCGGTTATACACAACACATTCTGCAGTACGCGTTCAAGAGTTAATATATCCCCTCTAATATTCGGTGTGTATATATATATATATATATATATATATATATTTTAAAAAAAAAATCAATTAACTGAGGAATGGTGAAGACATTTATTATTGCTATATACAGATCATCACCATCTGGACAGGAAGTATAACTTTTTCTTTTAAGTGCTTTTTTTTCAGTTTTGTGGCCAAACTTGTTAATGGAGGTGTTTATTAAGACATGTTATTTAAGGTACCATCCTAAAATACCTAACTGTGCTGTGGTCGTTGTAGTAGGCTACAACAGTGTTGCTGTAGTATTTAAATAAATGAAGTTAATTTGGCGGCATCTTGTAGATAGTAGCTGCCCTGTATGGACGGATTCATCTTGCTTTTGCTATTCTGTCTACTTAAAAGTACATTCTAGAAAAGCAGGTGAGTACACCTGCGCTTGTAGCGTACCTGTTGACCCCGCCCCCTACCTGTGTAGCAGGATCTGTTATTGCCTGCGGCTACATAAACGTTACTACAAATACACACTAGCTTCTTATCAGATATTTGAAAAACGGTAACTTTATTATACACTAATCAACACTAAATACAACACATTAGTATACACTAAATAACACTAAATTTAACCCTAGGCATATAACCCATTAAAAGAAAGCTTTAAAACAAGTGAGAGGTATTTCGCCCAAATCTATGTATGTATGTATGTTAAAGTGCACTTGTGGTCTGTGCTGTATGTTCTGTGGGGGCTGAAAACTGTTGCTCATTACCCTCCTCACAAAGCACAAAAAAGTGTGCCAAGAAAATAAGTGAGGGCGGTTGTATTGTCCATGTGGGATCCCTTGCTTCAATTTCATAGGTGTTTCTGCACAACTGAATCCTATAAGACCCTGAGCACCCATGAGGTTTGCTTGATTGCCCCCATAGGGTGCTGCTGTGGGCTTGGGGTAGGTAGAGGAGTGCTTCCAATTCCCATTTATGCCTCCTTATTAAATAAATAGACAGCCACAAGGGTTATTTTTTCATTGAAGGATTATTTTCCATTGTGGTTACACAATTTACCCCCAGCTACAACATAAAATGCTGCATACACAGTAATGCATCAGTAATGACAATCGAATGATTAAAAACACTGACGGGCCATTCTTCTGCTTTATGAGTACTTGAGGACTGCTGCCTCTCTGTGCTCATAAGAATGTGCTTTCTTCTTTCTTTCTTAAAACCCATTTTAATTCTTGTTATCACTCTCCTCCAATCCTCAGTCTTTCTCCCTTACCTTCACCACTATAATTTTTATCCTCATCACATCTTCAGTCACACCATCTCTTTCTTGCGGCTTGAATCTCACATCTCTCCACCTCCATTTGTCCGTGCAGCCTGCAGGATGAACTTCAAGAACTTGAGGGAGTACCTGGCCTGGCTGTACTACCAGTACCTGCTCATCACTGGCATCTATGTCCTGGAGCCCTGGGAAAAGTCAATTTTCAACTCCATCCTCTTCTCCGCCATCGCCATGGTGATCTACACCTCATATGTGTTTGTGCCCATCCATGTACGCCTTGCACTGGAGTTTTTCTCCGGGATCTTTGGCGGCCAGCCTGAGAGCACCATGGCGCTCATGAACTAAAAGGAGAAGAGAACATGGAGGGAAAAGAGGCAGCGACTGGGTGGATTAGCATGAGTCCCCAAATCATTTCCTATAACTCAACTCGTCAGGTCCCAGACCACCTTGAGCCCGTCTTTACATCACGTGCATCCCAAACCACAGCGGTCAATCACCTCGGCTAATCAAGACTGAAAACATGAAGATCTTAATGGAATGATCTGGAGAGCAGAGCCTTACTATCTTCTTTACATCCCAAACCCTCTGGCCTTACCCCATGGTATTAGACACACGACTGTACATTACTTTCACACCCTCGCTGTGAAACGTCTTGTGAAATGTTGTTCGTCATTGTTTATTTTTTTTCTCACCATGTGTCCTGTGTGAGTGCATACCACTTCTCGGTTTTGCATGATAGGATCATACATTAGCAGTAGATTTGCATGCTCATCTCACTACAAGATACTACTAGACACTCTTCTCTCCATCGTGACTTTTGAGCTATAGTCTTTAAAGCGGCATTCCAGCGATTTAGCTTGTCACTTTCATACAATTTGGGGATTAGGGGTTAGAGACAGATTAAAAGCAGAGTGGTCTTAATCTAAGCGTTGAGGCTGAGAGATCCCGACTTTTAATCTCAAGTAAAAAAAAAAAAAACAAAACTGGATCCTGGATCCTACATTTCCCTTAATACAACTCAATAGGATCTTTTGGTAGATCCTCACTGACAGGTTAATACCCACATCTATTAAATCCAAGATCCCAAGTTTGCAACAGAGCCTCTCTAAAAATGTATAGGCTCCACGCCCCAAGCTGAGATAACACTGTTGACATTATCTGGATAATTTTTCTGACTGTGACTGAGTCCAAAATCATGATAGTGCACTTATGTTTCTGCCATCGTATAGTGTCTGAATTCTGAGTGTGAAACTTAGGCACTATATAGTGCCCTTCAAAGATCCAACAATGGGACAAACAAAGTAGTGTCCAAGGCATTTACTTAACTTTCTGTTAACAATCCCACAATGCAATGTAGGGCTGTCAGTGATGATGCAAATGACAGAGAATCATAAATGTCTGCATCTCTATTAACTTCTCACTCCACAGTAAGCTATTGAGTATCTTTTATACAGGGAGTAGTGAATAAGTGAATGAGGGAGTGATTTATAGACACAGCTTCCTTCAGAGAAGACATTAGACAGTTGGAGTGCCCCTTTAAGTATGCGTGTCTGTTTATCTGCTCCATCTTTGACGCCATGTTAACACTGATTGCAACTCACCCTCACCCACTACTCATCCCAACATTTCTGACATACAACATAAATGTTACTGGTTGAGCTATGGTTTTGTATCAGAACCACTATCACCTTTTTATAGTTGTCTTTATGCACTGTAATTCTGACTGGCAGGCTACATTACACATTTCATTGTGTAGATGATCTTCAAAGAGAGAGTTGATAGAAAAGCCCAAGCTATGCAATGAAGCTAAACGTGTCACGATCAAGGATGTGCAACACAAATGTTGAAGGTTTGTACCAGACCTACATTTGCCGGTTCACTGGTCAAAATGAGTAATGTAATGAAATAACAGCATCATTGTGTGCCGAACCCTCTCTTTATCTCCTGTTTTTTAACTGGTGGTATGTTGGGAAGGTGTGTTCAGCACTGAGCATAAGCAAATATTGGTACAGCAAACCTTTTGTGTTTTAGGCTTGCCTTTGTTAATGAAGGCTTTACTCAATCAACAGCCTCTGAACTCAAAGCAGTACTGTGTGAAGTCAAATGCAAAATGCAGTCAAATTGGCCTGAATGAAAAGAAAAAGCCTGACTGGTCGACCAAATACAGTCTTCCTTACCTATAGTTGATCTATAGAGGATGGACCATAGAGAGAATGAGTTGTTGTGTATCTGATAGTGGTGATGAGCATTGCATTTAGTTGTGTGCTTAAGATAATTTTTGATAATTTGTGCTTTGGGTCAAGGGCTTGCTGATTACAGTCTGAACATGATCTCTAAGTTAACCTTATTTATATGGAGTTATATATTTATATACACTGGTAAATGCTTGGCTGGTTACAATGTCAATTACCAAACTTTTTTTTGATTATTTATATCTGTGTTCTCTTGTGGCCATAAATTACACACATTCTTTGCTTTGGTTCTCCACCTGAAAGTGCTATTATATTGTTCCCAATATGTGTAATTTCATTTCAGTTTTGTTAAACATTTACAGTAGTCCAGACATTTCCCGTACCAAGAATGAAGAGCTCTCGTAGAAGCCTTTTTCACCATTCACCAAATGAATGCTTTATTTATACATGATGGCAACACATCACTGCAATATTCAGAAAATAAAGACATCTGAAGACACTTGGACAGCTGTTCTCTTTCTCTTCCTGGTGTCGATTTTGATATAAATCTCTGTGCATACTGTAGTTTGAAATATGTATTCATGCTGTATATGTGTCTGTTCTGCCTGATTCAGTCAAGCAGAGCAGTTACTTTGAAATTGAAGAACAAGCAAAACAAAAGCTTATGGGCAGGACATTCCTAACACAATAGACTGTACCACATAAAGTGAATTCACACAATAAGAGGCAGAGCCACCAAACCAGTTCTCCCTAGACAGTGCAGGAATGAATACCCAGGGGCTTTGCTTTCCCTCCTGCAGATACTAGGTAGCCTGTAGATGCCTACAAAGCTCTGCTGACCTAAAGCCTGCACCGTGTCCACCCAATTCAAACTAGAAAGGCACTCAGTAGAGAGCATACGTCCATCAAGGCCCAACAGTCCCACCAAGTTGTACAAACTCAGATTTTTTTTAAAATCAAGATCTGCACATTATTTCTGGAGAAACTGATGAAAATGTTGAAAAATCATTATAATGATAAATTATAATGATTTAAAAAAAAAAAAAAGGCCCTGGCCCATGCCCCATCTCTCCAACAAATTTGGTGCAAATAGGTTCAGTACTTTTTGCGTAATCCTGCTGACAAATAAACAGACACAGGTGAAAACATAACCTCCTTGGCGGAGGTAACCAGTGTAAAGGATGATAAGGAGAACCTTTTAAAACTACAGTGTGTTTATGCCTTGTAATGGGAAACCTACACCTTGTTTTTTATTCTCCAGGATGTTGGGACACAATAGCTGCATCACCCAAGTCTGCATACCCAAACTCGTGCCAAAATACTACTGAATCTCCTTTCTTTTCTCATCCTTTCCTTTACCTCACTTCATGTCTTTGCCACTTTCTTTGATTTATTTTTTCTTTCCCATCCTTTCCTTTCCATTCCTTTCTTTTCCTTCTCTTACCTTATTTGCTTTCCTTAACTTCCTTTCTTTCTTTCATACTACATTTTTTCATGACATCCTATGTAGTGCAAGTCTTTTTTCTTTTTTTCAAGGTTTGCATCAGGTCTTTGAAGAAGTGTCTTCTGTTTACACTTAACATGTTAATTTGTATCCCATGAAGGAAGAAGTCAGAGGTTATCTCCATAATGACAAGGTGTAAACAAAGTTATCTGCAGACTCTGACGCTCTCAAGTCACTCAGAGGTAGTGTATTGTTTCTGTTGTGTTTGCATGTGGCCTATGACTGTTTCTCCAAATAAAACTGAGAGGAACTCCTAGCAACTGTTGGGTCCACAGACAGAGAAGTACATGACATCAAGACTAATGCACTTGTGCACCCCTGCACTGCACTGCCACCACCACCACCACCAGGTTTCAGTTTACAAGGAAACCCCAGAAAGTGTTTAAATATTAATATTGCCAACATTTGATAACACCTTCCAGTTTGGCTTAAACCTCAGTGTCACACACACACACACACACACACACACAGAGACAGGGCTTTAGTTCTATAACCAAACAGCCTCCAGTAATTGGTGTTATTGTTCAACTCTACCGTCCTACAAGTGTGTGACAATACAACGAATGTCTCCATGGTAATAACCTCCTGACAGACATGTAGAACAATAGGCACATATGGACACACACACACACCTTCTACATGGTCTTTAAATTGCATTTGTTTTTTGTTTTTTTAATTCATCTAGTTGGTTCCTGTTTGATAGAAGTGTCTGTACATATGAGTACAGTTTGTTTGTAGAAAATGCTGTTCTTATTTATACAGATTTCCTCATGCATTTACACGTGCACTTAATGTTTATAATCCCATTGTTAGTCCACCACATTTAAAGGCCAAATGTTCAGACATACATGAAACGTGTGTTGGGTATGTTAATATACATCATATTCATAATCGCAGTACACAGAACTCGTGGATGTCACAGGACAGCCTTTTAAAGGTAATTATGATCACCTACAAATCTCAATGTTTTCCAGTTCACTGCATGACTCAGCCTTGTGCTCTATGGTGAAACTTAACTGTGCAACAATTGGTTAGTCTTAGTATAATAATGTATTATAAAGTCATTTAATAGGCTTGTTTTGAGGGATCCTTGTTTGCACTACTGTGTGTGTGTCTGTCTGTCTGTCTGTCTGTGTTTGTGTGTGTCTGTTATACAGTTGGGGTGGTTGGAATTGGGTAAACACTCTTAACTTTATTTTCCTCTGTAATGATGAGAAAATGTAGTTTCCAACAAAATTCTCAAGTAGACAATATTTATAGATATTTAAAGCAATTTTCCAATTAAACCAAAATCCAGGAATACTTGTGTATTTTGCTTCTGTATTGTTGAATTGCTCATTTTGAATTGAAACTTCACAAACTGAGAAAAACAAAGGTTTTAAAATTGGTAGTGTTTGCCCCACTGAGTAAAATATAAGCATAGTTTAGATATAACACTATGGCCCATGTGGTAACTCGCTTGGGGAATATAACAGCAGAGATCAGGTACAGGATCACATCATTATGGCTCGAGGATAAATTATAATTCATCTCTTTCTAGACTTATCCCTGTACAATCAGACAAAGTTTGTGCGGAGGCATTCAGAATGATTATGCAATTATTGCCATTCTTTGTTGAGACTTATGCTCCACTTTATATCTGAGTTATGAATCAGTCAATATGAGCGTAGGAGTGGCTGGCCTGATAAAAACCTGAGTCCAGCGAGGCGTGACCCTCACCTGGAGCCAAACACTGACATGATCAATGGACTTTCCATACATATGAAAACATGTTTCGCTCCCATTGCCTCACAGTCAGAGTTGGGGATATAATAAGGACACATGAATTTGTCCTCCTAAATAAACTTATGAGAACACCATCATTACCATCTGGATGTTGTAAAATGTAATGGTTCAAGTAAGACATAATATGAACTGATATATATTTTTCACGTATTTCTAAACAATTACACACAAAAAATCAAGGTCTGTAACTGTGAAGATCCTTGTGCTTAAACAAAAGATACAAGTCTGCCACCAAGCGGTCAAGCAGAGAAATAATCTTGTAGTGCAGATGACAATCTCTGTTTTTTTCAAAAGGGAAAATCATCACAAGTCTCTGAATCTTGCAAAGAAGGCAGCTTAGTATTAATAATTAAGACTTGGTTAAGACTGCCAGGTTCACGCTGTGGTTTATAGGGCTGTGTAGTCGTGGGACAGTTTGTAATTTATTTTTTAACAATAATAATGATAATCAAACCTGTCTGATGTTCACAGGGTCATGGATTCTGTTAGGTGTGCTACACCTGACCTCTTGGGAGGGAATTGTGCAAATAATCAGTTTAGGAGTTGAGTGTGAAGGTAAAGGCAAGATTGCTCTTTATTTTATATTGCTTTTAGGGGGGTGTTTGTTGATTTATGAGCATATGAGGGAAGTAGGTGCACTAGGTATAGGACGTTTGTTAGGTATAAAGTGGCAAAGATACACTGAGGCTGCTGCTGGGTGGTAAATTAAAGAGTTGGAAGAGGGAGAGGGGGATAAACCATCTATTCAGCTCTGGAGATGCAACTCTTGACCAAAGCACACAAGGAGATCGCAGAACCCTGGTTTTGTTTTATAGACTTCTGCAGATACTTGCATGCTTTTACTTCTCTTCTGTCATTTCCTCTATTCAACCACAAAACTGAGCTGCCTTGTCAGCAGTCAGTCACCTGTTCATGTTGGGCCACACAGTGCTTTCTGCTTGTAGTGACTTCATTTTTCATGTTGTATTTAAATAGTACCTTAACCCCAAGGTGAAACGCAGTGATTGTTGTCTGCTTCACCTTTGCTTTGTGTCAGAAATCTGCTTTGTTGCACCTGTAACCACACATTAGAAACAGTGATCTCACAGTATAACACTGAGAAATCTCCTACATCACTGCAGCAGAGTGAGAAGTTAAAATACTGGGGGAAATCAAAAGCAAGGTTTTCAGTGTTGGGTTGTTCTTTAAAACAATAATTTGACACAGAGTTAGACGAGATGATCGATACTACTGGTGGCTCTCTGTTAAATATAAGGTTACAGCCAGCAGTTGGTTAGCTTAGCTTAGCGTGAAAACTGGAAAACGGGAAACAGTTTGCCCGGCTGTGCCTAAAGGGAACAAAATCCACCTACCAGGACCTCTTAAACTTTACATGATACTGTATCTCATCTGTTTAATCTGTAGAAAGAAAGAAAGAAAGAAAAAAAAAAGTGTAAAAAAAAAAAAAGTGTAAAAAAAAAAAAAGAAAAGAAAAGAAAGAAAAGTAGTTGTATGGAGGGGTTATGTACTAAACCATTTTAGACCTGGAGCAGTCATCTCTTAATTCACAAAAGAGGAACCTTAAGTCATCATTATGATTTCCCTGTATCTCACAGTCTCTCAAAATGTTGAACTATTTTTTTAAGCTAATGCTTTTGTTAGTATAAGAAAGATAAATCCCACAAATTCCCTTTAAATACAAAATGTCCGAGTAAGCTAAGGTGGAACTCAATCAACAATACGAATAGATCACACTTGACAGTTTTTCAAAAAATACAAAATTAACCCAAGTGTTCACATATTAACTACACCAAATGATATCATATAAAATGGAAAAAATCACACCAACGGATCACTTTTGAACTACCAACTACCAGTAAATGTAAACACATGTATTTGTCCTCAAGCAAACTCATTTCCTTTTGTGGAAAAGGGCATCATGTTTGCACAACCAGCTTTGAGTGCATTAGAAACCAATCCCTAACATCAGAGAGGCTTGTCAGAGAGAGTGTTACAGGAGAAGAAGAAAGTGTTTTTGTACTCTGTCTCACTACATGAGATGTGTCTTCACTGCCAGCAGATCTTTTGCCAAAGTCATTAGCAGCTAATTCTGCAGGATCTAGATTTTCTTTGATAAGATCCCACAGTAAAGAACAAAAAACAGTCCATGGCCTTATTGGTACGTGAGCACAGATACAGACACTGGCTGGTTGCTGTGTTAGTTACTAAACGAGTCTCTGTCTTATTGTCTCACTTTCACCCCCTCTAACTCACTCTATACACATTCACTGCAGCTTCAAGATCTCCTTTACATGAATAGGGTTAATGTAAGGCAATACACCTCCATCCACCCAAGTCATCTTTGGTCCTCTCTCTGCTCGGCTGCGCCCGCTGAGTAAGTTAACTCTTCCTTGTCCCTTGCTCTATAGTGCGTGTGGATGGAGGCTGAGGGCAAGACCGGTGCCAGTGTTAAATGAAGGGACAGGTGAGCGGCGCCTGGGTCCTTTGTGACCAGCTGGGCACCGTAAGCTGACCGCTGCTGTTGTGTGTGGTCTGAATGGAGCCGAGATACGATGGGGTTGAGGTCGGGTATGGAGAACCCCAAAGGAACCCCTCTCTCAGGACTCAGCTGCATATCTTACACTTCATCTGTTTGTCTTCTATGGAGGGGCAAGTCAGGGACACTTCACCTGAGCTGCTGGGAAGGAGGGAGAAGAAGAACAACTAAATGGAGGGGAGGAGATAAAGAAAAGTGTATGTGAGAAGATAAAAATATCCTACATAAACACTGTCTTCTCCTATTTAGCGGCCCTTTCCTCATCCCACCATCACCCCTCTCTGTTTCCCAAATTCATTTCCCTTCTTCCTGCTCACTCATTGCTGGTCATACATCTCTCTGAGCACATGAGGTCTTTGACAACTGAGGCATGTCCACTGCTCAAACATCCATTGTCACTGGCAAGTCGAGAGTTTCGATCAGACAGCTCGCAGAAAATCACTTTTCTACGAAAACCTGATGCTCTCTCGTTACACCTTAAGAATGAATCATTGTCCAGCCACACAGTTTGAATCGTAGTTAGAAAATGTATCTGCCAGCAGTCTGTGGGGCTCATGTGCAGTAAGTCGGTCACTGTGACCAGGCAAGCATTGCAACTGCACTGATTTAAGGGAGATAAATTGGTTCCTTTGACAAACATCTCAGGTTTAGCAACTGTTGAGTGAGGAGATTATCAGTGCTCTTTAGGCTAAAGCTTTCTTCTGGATGTTCACCAAGTACCAGTAGATTGTAAATACTGAGCTCCCTGTGCTACGCGCCAGTTTGCAGATCTTGCAGTAAGTCATTTCAAAGTTATGCAGATATTGTCATCTAAGTCAACTTGCAAGATTCTGCATGGGACTATACAGTAAAAGACCTAAAATAAAAATGGTTTGCACCTTCCTGCTTGCAGCTACATGTAGAAAGCTGTGCAAACCTGCACTTGAAGAAAGGCTGTTGTAGTGCCCTGGCCTCTGTTACAGAACCCTCTTTGCTTAGCTTTGTCCTACCGTAAGAGCCTGGGTAGTTGGTTGGATGTTGGAGGAATGCCTCACATATCAGGTGACCCATTGCCCCACAGCCTTTGCTCCTCACCTAGCTCACAGCGACGGAGTGCTCCTGGCGGGCGCTGTATCCCGTGTCACAAAAGCACCTTTCTACACAACAGAGGTACAGAGAATGGGCCACAGCACAGTGGTTCTCCTTGGGTCAGCTCCAGCCTGCCATAGTTGGATTTCAGACCTCCCCCTGTGCTTCCAACAAACACCCTCATTGGTGGAGATGTTCTTTCGCCCAAGCCTGGCAGAGATATCAGAGAGACCTGGAGCTCCTGGTGGTGCTTCCAAGACACCGCTAGAGAGGATAAATGACCATACTACTTATGCACAACTGGGTGAGTCTTATCAAGTTTGCTAGATGCATATTCTCAGAACGTTGTATATCAGCATGACAAGTAACCTATGAAAACATTTGGTTTATGTGTAAATGTAATATAGATTACTAAACTTCAATCATTTGATATTGTGACCAAGGAGCTGCAGGCTTTCATTCTAGTTAAACACTCAAACTGCTGAATTCACTGACAAACTACTTGAGTGGACAAGCAGACCTACTGGGTCACTGAGAAAAATGTGGCTCCTACTTGAAATTGGCAAAGAAAGGATCTAGGAAAGATCTAAGTGGAAACGGAGAAGCAAGCAAATGCAATCAAAAGTGGACATAGTAAACATACATGGAAATAATAGATGGAAATAATGAGAGCAGAAATTTCACCACTCATCAGTACTTTGTGATATGATTTGCAACAGTGAACTGCTAATCAGTATGTGCTCTTTTTCGTAACCTCTTGTCTTTAATCCAAAAGTAGATGGAAAATGAAATCGGTGCAGAACAACAGAGGAAAGGTGTCTTGTGTAGACTCATCTGTTCTCAGATCCCAGTCAACCATGAGGATTATCTCTTGTCAGTCAACCCTTGTGGCTGTAGTTGTGGTGGCACTCACTGTGGTGTCCTGCGCTGAAGCTAAGACTACACAAAAGCCAAAGTACCAGTACACCAAGAAGCCCATCCCTCATATCACAGTGCACAGTCCTGTGACCACCAGCATGCCCAAGACTCTCAAGGCAGTGGCCAGCGCAAATCCTGTGGAGCCCCACCCACTGCCCACCACAGAGAGGAGCACCTATCCAAGTCACATCTTTCCTCAGCACTACACTGAGAGCACTGAGCCCCCTGGTGTTGGTCATGAGAACTACACCCTGGATTACAATGAGTGTTATTTCAACTTCTGTGAGTGCTGTCCACCTGAGAGAGGCCCCAGGGGGCCAAAGGGAGACAGAGGCCTAGCGGGTACACGACTCACTCATAAAATGCAATATAGAAAATGTTGTTCTGTTTTCAGTCTTTTGAACTTCTCTTATGTTTACTTATCTAGGGCCACCAGGTGACAGAGGGCTTGCAGGGGCAGCTGGTTTACCAGGACCACCAGGTGTGAGTGGTCCCATGGGGTTAAGAGGAGACAAGGGTGAGTATAATATGGTTAATTACAAATTTATAATTGCTTATTACAGAATATTTTATTGTCATAGTACATTGCAAGAATGCAGAACACAGCATAGAGACATGGGCATAGGTCTGTGATGAGATAATGGCACCTGGGAACTAAAATGTGGTAAAGGTTTTACAGGAAACTATCAAGAGAAAGCTGTGGTGCAGGTTCTATTTTCCTGCTTTTATTAAATTGCTTTACTGTTTTTAATGTATGTTTCCTGTAGCTGAAGTGCGCACTGCGCAGTGTGTATGTAAGGCAAAACGAACAGAAATATAACAAATATGAATTTTTACAACACTGGCAAGTAACAAATTGTAATCAACACTGTTACACTTCTGACCACTGCAAGAATGCTGGGTGTGGTTAGAAATGTAACAGGCTTGGAAGTTTCATCCACAGAGGGAAGTGAAACAGCTTCTCAGCCTTGACCTAAGTTACTTTTCAAAGAATTGGGGCCAGAAAGGGGAAACATGATAACAACTATTTCTGTTTTACTAAGCCCTGTGAATTTTCGACAAGAAACATACATAACAGTCACTTCAAACAAAGACTTGGAGATTGAGGTTCCCTGACCCCTTAAGCCTCTGGAGTCCCATAGGCCCATTAAATATATTGTTCTCCTTCATCTGTAGCACTAGATAAAAAAATATTCAGATTGCTTATGTTGGTTATTGTTATGTCAATTTCCTAGGGGATAAAGGTGACAGAGGAAACAGTGGGACAGCTGGGACAGCAGGTGTCCCAGGGAAGCCAGGACAAAAAGGTCAAACTTGTTCAGGTGATTGTTGAATTCTTTTGTATTGTTTCTATACTTCAATAGTTCTGAAACAGTGTCCCATACCTTGCAGGTGATGTTGGCTCAAAAGGTGAGAAAGGTCAAATAGGCCTGCAAGGTGTCAAAGGTAATAGTGGAGAGAAAGGAGAACCTGGCCAGAATGGGACTGCTGGTGAGAAGGGAGAACCAGGAAAGGAGGGGCCAGCTGGACCTCCAGGAGTGGCTGTAGAGCAAGGTCCTAAGGGAGACAAGGGGGATAAGGGAGAGTGCGGTACATTTGGGGAGAGAGGACAGAAAGGTGAGCGAGGGGATCCTGGGTCTCCTGGCATCCCAGGAGGAATGGGCATTCCAGGAATGAATGGCAAGCATGGTTCTCCAGGTCCTGTGGGTGTCCGAGGGGATCCAGGGCCTCCTGGATCACAAGGAGAACCAGGGGTGAGTGGGCCTCAGGGACCACAAGGCATACGAGGGATGCCTGGGTCAAAAGGGGACAGAGGCTACCCTGGAATGAGAGGTGAGCGGGGTGTTCGTGGAATCAAAGGAGCTAAAGGATCAGGTGTTCCCCAGAAACGCTCGGCCTTCAGTGTGGGCATCTCTCCAAGAAAGTCCTTCCCTCCCTCTGGCTTCCCAATCCGCTTTGACAAAGTCTTCTACAACGAAGAGAACCACTTCAACGCCACTTCCAACAGCTTCACATGTGTCCATGCTGGGGTTTATGTCTTCTCCTTCCACATCACAGTACGCAATCAGCCCCTGCGAGCCACACTGGTTGTGAATGGGTCACGGCGGGTAAGGACACGGGACTCTCTGTACGGTCAAGACATCGACCAAGCGTCCACTCTGGTGGTGCTGCGGCTGGCGGTGGGTGATCAGGTGTGGATGGAGACTCTCAGAGACTGGAACGGGGCGTATGCCAGCAGTGAGGATGACAGTATCTTCTCTGGGTTCCTGCTTTACTCAGACAAGGCCTGATACTCACCAGTGGTACTGACACTCTTCTTCTACAGTACTATTCCAACGTGACATGAGACCAAATACTGGTGGTGCTACACTTCTATACTCACTACTTATGAACTGCTCAAAAGTTGAACTGTATGATGTTATATATGTTATAATATGATGTTTATTGCATTATTACCTTACTAGTATCTTCTTGTTTTACCCTCTGAATAAAAATGAGAAAACGCCCAAACACTCTTGTTTACAGCTGGTATACTTATTTACAATGTTTTGATCCACACAACCCTTATCAGGTATGTGAACATATATATATATATATATATATTACATAGAGTACAACAACATATAATAACCCCAAACTATCTAATGGTCAAAAAAAAAAAGACTGTGTATGATAAAATTGTAATATTTTAACTTGTGATAAACATTTGATAATTTACCTTGGATGTCATCCTTGTGAAGCTGTTGTGATGCTTGTTCATATACTTGTAGACCAAAACTTTGTTAGTAAATATATCAGCAGTAAACATGTCATTTGCATGTTTTTTCTTATTTTTTTTAATTCAATTTTAAATTCAATTTTAAACCTGTTCCTGCATAACATATTTCGCTTTTATTCCTTTAAACCCATAACTCTGAAATATTTATTGATAGTCTACCTTCATTTATGCTCTCAGTTAAACGCCATAACCCCATGTTACCCTCGCCTCACTTGCTTGACCCAAAAAGCTCCTTAAACCTGTCATTCCATCCTGTGTTCCTCTTTTGTCTGTTTCGCAAATTTTTGTTCTTACCCTTTCCCCACGGCTCTCTGTAATGAACTGAAAATTAAGACACGTGACATATGTATCACGAATGTGTTGAGTATACAGAGAATATCACTGGGATCCATATCCAATGTATTTTTATTCTTTTTGTTAATCTGGCAAGAATGACCTTACCCCTCTCCAATTGAAAAATGTAACACCCATTGCCATGTTATGACATCAATACTTCTAATATATAAACAGTATTGCTGTACAATGGGGTTGTATAAACAGAGTGTTGAGTGAAAATAAAATCCAGTAACACATGTCATTTATGGAATGCTTTATTTGCTATATGGCATTAGTCATTATATCATACACTACTGATCAAGTTAGTTTCCTACAGATGAGATCATGAAGTGTGGAAGATAGATAGATAGAAGATACTTAGTAATCTTTCAAATTTATTTTACACAATCATATAAAAAGAGATAGAAGTCACACATTATTACACTGATTTAGGATCATTCATTTCTGTTACAGTCTATAATGTATGATACTATGTGACAGTTTCTGGAGAATTCCCAGACATGTCACCAGACTCCTTGGGCATGTCACCAGATTCTCCAGACTCCAGATTCCTGAGATAAAGAGGCCGAATTATCTCTGATAGGGGTAGCAGTTCAGTCATTAGACTGGAATGGGGGTAGCAGAGGGGTTGGAGTTGGCTGTGAAGGCTTCAGCAGAGGATCTGAGGGTTGGGTACTCAGTTCAGTAGGCTGACTAAAAGCAGAAGCTACAGTGGATGGGAGAGAGGATGGAGACAATTCAGGAGGAAGATTGGGGCTTAAATTTTTTGTCAAGGACACATGGCAGGTTACATTTACTTTTAATCATCTGTCACTGCTTAAAGCTTTTGGGCTCACTCCGCATGCTGACGCCCAACAGAGGCACCCTGGCCTTGCATTCGTACAGGCCTGGAAGCTGTCTGACCAGATTATTATTCTCAGAGGCTGCTGGTCCTAGTCGATTGTTATTCCTGTAGAAATAGTAATGTATTGGAGCGTGGGCGTTGTATTGGGTGTTGCAGATGAGAGTGAAATATCCTGGAGTCAGGCCTTCGTTGGTATCAATCTCCAAAACAGGCTGTGTCAGAACCTCTGAGATAGAGCCACAGAAGAGAAAACATTACTGACACATTGGAATATTTCCAATAAATAATTTCTTCCCTGTTTTAACTATTCTTTTTACATATGACCTGCAACCAAACTCAGCATATGCAACCCAGTATATATACTCACCTAAGATCTGCACCGCAGTATCAGCTGATACTGCTGAGTGAGTTTGTCCGTCTGCATCCCAGGAAGCCCGACATGAATACATTCCATTGTTGTTGAGAGACAAGTTGATCAGGTCAAATTGTGGGCTGGATTGTCTCATAATTTCTACACCATCTTTGTACAGAATCACCTCATGAATTGGGAAGTTGCGTCGGAGGTGACATGTGACCTTTAAGGTTTGTCCAACAAGGCCAGGATGAGGTGCGACTCGCAGCATAGCAAACCCTCCTGAACAAAGATAACAGAGAAGAAAGTCACCACAATCAAACAGGCCAGTAGCAACATGCTTGAGATGTGCTGTAAGATAAAAACATGCAAAATAACAAAAATAATTTCCTAAAAACAAATGCCCAGGAAGCACCATATGATGCTTAAAAGAAGTTGAGGGCATACACAGTTTACCAGTTTTTGAAGTTCACAGAAATATGGAAAAGAGGGGACCTGATATGCAAATCAAGGATATTTTTAATGATGTTATTAAACAAGGTCTTACCATCCACACTGATCTCCACAGGCAGACTTTGAAGGGTGTATATGTTTCCCACCGCTGTGTCCCTCGCTCCCTTGCAATAAAATTTCCCACCGTCTTTAACCCCAGCATTCCACAGAACAAAGTACTCCTCAGTCTGCGGCAGAAGCTCAGACCCCCTGTACCACAGGTAACTCCAGGTGGACATGTAGACATCAGGAATGACGCATTTCAGCCGGACAGTTTCCCCAGAGAAGATTTTTGAGTCCCCCGACACCTTCTCCAGTATAGCTCTGTATGAGGTCTCAGTCTCAACTATGGAGACAAATACAAGTTTGTTGGGGAAAATATCCCAAAAGCATCTAAATAATCGGTTTTAATTTAATTAATTTAATTAATGTTCAACTCAAATACTTAAAATCACCTTAATTCAGTTCAGCAGAAAGATTAATCTAACATACTGATTCTATTGACACATATGTGATATGCTTACAAATACAAATGTTTTTGTGAGGTTTTTCTATTCTAGAAATGAATTATAAGAATATCTGGTACATACCCAAACATACTACCTGCTGCGCAAGTGTTGAAAGAACTGAAACAGAAAATGATCGAGGATAAATGACAAATTTTATCAGACAACAATTCAGAATATCAAGTTTGAGATATTGCAAATGGACTGAGGAAAACTCACCAAGGAGGAAAATGACTGTGTCCATTGTGATAGCTCTGTTCATAAGAAACAAATCCAGCAGGGTGCATTTATTTCTACTGAGGAGGGAAGTGAAAATGTATTTTTTCTGAGCTCCAACATGCCTCACTCGACACCCCCCTTTAAAAAAGTGCTGCCATGTCCTTTCTTTTCTGAGATAATTTCTTTTTCAAAGGAAAGGGCAGCATTACCTAACAAGGGATCATCATCTTTTGTCATCTTTGCAGTAGTATTGGTGTGGCTGTGGCACACTGATTTAAATGTTTAAAAGTTATATCCTTTTCAGTTTTTCTGAATTTCCTGAAGCCATTCTAAGGTTTATCAATTTTTTTCAAATTTATCAATCTTGGAAACTTTCTTACCAGGAAAAAACAAAGGAGAACTGAAAGTAGCACATCCTCTCTGAGAATTCTTAAATCAGCTGAAATGCATCTGCACTCATTCAGAGGAAGATAGGGGACAAAATAGATGAACAAATAATAAATGATAATAGCAAACCAAAACCAAAACAAACCACATTTACAGTGTAGAAAAATGACAAATTAAATGATTAGTTAAAGGCCCACTACAGTGAGATGGGGTTATTTTTGAATAAACACTACACTAACACTATAGATATACCGTATCCCTATTCATACTATAGTTAGATAGTATTGTGACTTGTATTGTGACTCATAAGGCTACTGGAGTTGTACTAGATGCACTGCTTAGTTTTGCACAAACACAAGTCTTGTACATGGCCTAAGGTGTATAATATATATACATAGTTTTCAAATTCTTTTTCTGTTATTTATTTGAAATATGTCTCCTATCTCTCAATATTGTTTTGTGCTGCTTTAACATTTAATTTTCCCTTCTAGGGAATAATAAAGTGTGGTTGTAATTAGGCTTGAATTTTTGATATATATTTTATACAGAATTGTATAAATAGTTAAATTCTCAGTGTTAACTCCATTTAATCCTAGTTTGCAAATTCATAACAGTCAAGTGAAACAACATGAACAGGAACTGCACGAGCACACATGCATTTTCAATTTTTATTCATTATCATCACACACCCATAGATGCAAATATACTAATACTGCCCCAATAAGTTACATTTAAATAAAAGACAGTATTAAGTTACTTTCTCCCATGTAATACAATGACAAACCTATAAGGTTACAAACATGATGCTTCAAACTTTAAAATACCTGATAAATGGCTTCTGCATACAGTGCAATGAAGTTATTCAAGCTGTTGTTTGCATTAAAAGCTTTTTCTCAAACTATAATTGGAAAGCAACGGCACACTGACTACACTATTGCAAAAATATGAACTACAAAAGATTCAGCTCTAGCAGCATAAGGAAATATTAGCTAATGGGCAAAGGGAAAAAATGTCCCTTTAACATTATCCAAACATACAACTGCCAAATACAAAGACTTGGTTGAAAAACATCTGTGTGGTAAAAGCCCCCAACACAGTTTTCACCAATAATCCTTCATCCTTTCAACTGAATATAGCAATTACTTCCTTCATTCAATGTTCTTCTGAATTAAGAGCTTCAAAATGAAACAGAAGCCTTGCCACCGTGTTACCTAGTTCATCCTACAGCTCTTACAGAGCAAAACAATAATATAATTCGCCTAAAACTGATTTTTATTTTTTGATGGAATATGCTTATGACACCCTCTTGAGAAGATAAATGAAAAGATGAACATTTTACTATTCAACCAATAGAATTCATGTAACATGTCTTCAAACAATTTTCTTTAACAAGATTACTACTGTAAATATTACAGGATTAATGTCTCCTATTGCATCCAGAAGAATTGATACCTGCCATTCTATAGAAAAATAAAATCACTGTACATCCAGCTTATGGCTGGAGTGAGAGGTCTGGCATGAAAACGAGACTACAATATCCACACACACAGCGGGAGGATTTTATGATTTATCGACATTAACGGAACATGTCCATGCAACACACACTCACCCACACTTTCCCACATGCACAACTGCCACACACGTGAATAGTCTTTCTCTCTGGAAACTTCTCCAGAGGCTAGTAACATACACAGTAAATACAGCAGGAATCATGAGCATGGGCTGGAGGGATATTTTAGTAAGGGGAAGTTAAGGTTTGCATCATTAAGACTTTTTCATTTCATTTCCCAAAAACATATTTTACTGAAATGTACTGTTATATTATTAAATGCCACTTGGGCAGCAGGGTTCTCTAAGTCAATTTGAGCCTCCACTTAACAAGTTGTGAATAATGACAGAAACATGTTTAAAAATCACACCCAACCATTTATCCTGTTTGCACAAATGTAACAACAATAACAAGGATGAAGAAGTACTGAGGTACTGGAAATGCCATTGAGGGTGGCCGACTTAGATATTTGCAACAAGCTTGGAGTGGAGTCAGTCGGCTACTTTGAATTAAAAGCAGCCAAATGAAGTGGTCTGGGCATCTGATCAGGATGCCTCCTGGACAACACTCTGTGAAGGGTTTTCCAGAAGACCCCACTTAGAGGAAGCAACAGTCAGAACACACTGGAGGGGGATTAATAGCCTGGGAACACCAAAGCACATGGTTGGGTCAAGGGTGCCAGTACAAGTCTGCTTATCCTGAAACTGAACTGAAACTGTAATAGATGCAGAACATCAGGGCTTCGCCACGGATCCAGGACAAAAGACTTGGAGTGTACTTATCCTCTGCCTCACGTTCCCTGATGTTAAAGGAATAGTTTGCCATTTTGAAAAATGCTTGCCAAGAGTTCCATGAGAAGATTGATGCCTCTCTCATTTCTGTCTGGTAAAAATGAAACTGGGGCCAGGAGATGGTTAGCTTAGCTTAGCATAATGAATCTACAGGTAACCCTGTCCACAGGCAACAAAATTCACCTACTAGCTCTTATAAAGCTCACAAATCTGTACAAAGAGAAGTAGCTTGTTGTTTTTACACTTTTGTGTTGTGTTACAAACTAAACAAACAAGATATAATGTGTTGACTGTTGAGCTTCACAAGGTGGATAGGTGGATTTTGTGACTTTCTACTGTACAGATATGAGTTGCATTAATCATCTCCTTTAACTCTAACTTTAACTCTAACTTTAAAGCTACGGGCACTTCCCAAAATGCCAAACTATTCTTTTAAATCAATTTTTCCATTACTTTTCAGTTTATTGTCAGAGCCTCTAGGATAATGGATGGAATTGAGATGGCTGGAGTGGAAATGGGATCCATATCAGACAGCTGCTGTATGTGCATACAAACAGCCAAGTTTAACAGCAAGGAAAAGGGGGAGGGTGGAGTAAAGCCTCTAGATTTTTTTCAGAGCAGAGCTTTTCATATCAACCAGCAAACACTTGCGGTTGCAGTGGTGGGGGCAATAGCTCATTCTCAACATTATCAGAGTCTATTGCTGATGGTGCTGCAGATGTCCCACTAGCTGTGGTTGCGGTAGGGTTTTGTGTCTCTGGCGGAAAGCTCTCCAGGACGCTCTGCACCTTCTGTTCCACTTCGTCTGTCCAGTCGATGAGGTCGCTCTCCAGTTGACGAGCCTTCTCCATTACGCGCTCCTGTCTTTCCCCGAGCCCTGTGAGCATGTCCAGCCTTTTGTGGACCTGACTGAGAGCTGCGCTGCCTGGGGAGCAGGAGGAAGCTCCACTGGCCTGTGGCCAGTGGGGGGACGCCTGGCCCGACATGTAGAGCTCAAACTCCTCAGAGCTCAGGTTCAGAGACTGACCGTCCAACTTCTCAATGAAGGCCACTGCACAGCACTGGGGAGAGGGGATGTGGAGGGTCATTAAATGAAAATTCGTCTGTGGCATCAGATTCACTTAGACTGCAGTGGTAAACATGATGAATTAAACAAAAACATGAAAATAAAAGCATAAAGCATAAAAAGGTGTTGACCAATCAGAAGACAGGTGACACCAGAAGAACAGCAGAACAACTAACTGCAATGTTTTTAAGACTTTTAAAAATTAACTTTAATGTAAAATATTACTGAGGCACCAAAACCAAACTGTTATGTTGGTGACCGACTGGGAACCTTTATTGCAGAGGAGTAGAACATCTGTCTCCCCTCATTTCCTGTCATCTCTGTTATATCTCTCTAATAAAGACATAAAATGCCAAAATAAAATAGCATTTAACTGTGTTCAAGAGGACTTAAAGCCTTGAATGTTTTGGAGATTTTAAGAATTTTCAACTGACTGACTCACCAGGAGGTAATTTGAGACCAAGGGTTGTAGTTGACTTTTTTAACTGTAACTTCTTTTTCTCGATCTGTAATTTCCTACTTTGCTACCACAGTACACAGTGGAGCAACACATAAGCTGCAAGACTTGTTTCATAAAATTTTTACATGTTTTGTGGCTGGCTACATTGCATCATGGTCTATTGGGACAACTGTCTGATTTGTAACTCAGCTGCCTCTAACATGAATTTTTGTATGAGAAAGATTTCAAGATGAGCTGAACTGATACCAGCATCTGACATCTATTGTTTATGTTATATATACTCAGATGCATTTTTATCAGGTACACTGAAATAAAACTACTACAGACTAATACAACAGTCCTGCAACTTTTTGATCACTTCAGTAGGTGTTATTTGTGGTGCTATTAAGCTGTACTGCATAACACAGAGTATGTTATAGTGTTTGTTATTCATCTTACCCTCATTGATACAAATGAGATGAAAAAAAACTAATAGAAAGACCTGTTTTGGAGATATATATATACACTAATAAACCAGATAAATACAAGCAGGTACTCATCTCCTCACCAAATTAGTGAAGTAGTAACCATCCTCTCCAGTCATGAGTCTGCTGGGGTTACAGAAGCGGGTGATGTACTGGATGTTGGATTGCAGTCGCGGGGGGTTTGCTTTCAACACAATGTAGATGAGCGTGGGAAGGAAGTCATCTGCTGACGCAGCTTCTTTCTTGCTGACTTTGATTGCGTTGAAGATGTGCTTGCTGCAACGAGTGATACATGCCAGCTTGTCCTTCGGCACACGCTTCGAATCCATTTCAATCACATCTGGTATGATACAGAAATTTGAGGAGATAAAGTGTTCAGCTGAAAATCCTACTAGATCTCTACCACTAAGATAATTAGGTGATGTCCTACCATGGACTTCTGGAATAAACCTGAAGAGACTTACCTGTGATGGCTTTGACTACACTGTCAGAAACCTCGGGGATCTCCTCATCTACAGGAACACATAGCATCTCTATGGTGACCCAGTGCAAGGCTCTGAAACAGAATACGGTAACAATTTCAATTTACCGTAAGTAACTCTCAGATATAATAATTTTACCTGCAATTGTGTTTTCTTGTGCTCAGAGAAAATGCAGAGAAAGTAATGACAACTTGCATATAAAATATAAGCATTATTACAACTGCAAACCTGATTCTCTTCTGAATGGCCAGGTCTTTCTTCTCATCATCTGTGGTCTCAGGACAGAAGACTTCCTTGTAGAGACGAGTCATCATGTACTTCTCTACTTCATCCATAACGCTTTCTACATGATCTGACGAACCTAATAAGAACAAAAAACAAAAAACAATAATATATAGGACAAAGACATTATTCATTGTATCTTCATGACATTCACTGTTTATGGCTAATTAATCCTGAGTGTTAAGCAAGACGAATCAGCTATAAACTGTTAAAAAGAGTTAAGCAGTACCTTTGAACTGGGTCTGGAGGCGTTCTGAGAGGTTCTGGTAGAAGTCTTGCACACACTCTGACAGCTCATCAGCACCCATGTCCTGTATGAAGGGAACGGAAATAAACATTTAATCTCAGATTACATTTGATTTCATTTTTTTTTAAATTACAATGTTACAGGGACAGTTATCAAAATTTTTGGTTTTGATATCGATCGTGTTATCTGTTTAAATGTAGCAATTACTAAGCAATTTTAAATTCACAAATAGTTAACGTCAAAAAAACTACAAAAAATAAATGCTGCTGTTAAGCACTATTGCTTAATTTTTTTGCATTTGAAGTGAAGCAATTTAAGCTAATTTCATTCTGTAACTGGGACACTGGAAAGAGATAAGTGTTCAGTTGATAAGGTGGTAATGAAACAGTGTTATAGACAGCACACTGAAATTAAAACTATCAGTGTTGCTATCACTACTGTCAGCATAGGTAAAAATGAAATGGGTCCTATAAGCTTATTTCACCCAAAACACAGAAAAACATAATTAGTAACACACTTAAACCCCTTTTACATTGGGCAAAAAACCTTCTCACACCCACTAACGGCTGGCTTTTGTCGTAAATGTGAAAAGGTTCAATCGGTATTCACTCTTGGGTCAAATGACAGTGCAGTAGTCAAGGGTATTTATTGGCTCCAGCTCCAATTGGGACTGACAAGACACCCAGCTGAACATGCCAATTTTTGCCACTTTTCCGAGTTGTGACGTCTTTCAGAGTACAGTGTAAACACACCTGTCACCTGCCCAGCGCAGTGATGTTAAATCAGAAACACTGTGGCTACACCTTCCACTGAGAGTGAGCTGCACTCTGGGCTGCAAGAGTGAGCACAGCCCCAAAATAAATTTTAAATACACACAATCACCTACCAAAGCGTACCACATGGAGACTCCAACACTTACAGGAGCACCAACATGGGGATGCAACTGATCCATTTTACCAGTCTGCATGGCAGCTAGCAGCTCACTCTTTGAATCTGTAAGATATTTTCACTCCTGTGTCTGTGTGTATGCTCTGTAACTGCATGTGATATTGCTGCTCCCTGCAGTCATGTGTCTGTGTCCTCTCAGTCCCAAAAGAAAGGCAAACTTGTCTGGCAGTGTGAAAGGAGTCAATCGCCTCTTTCTATACTCACTCGCTTATAGACCATGCTTTCAGTGAAAGCCCGGCACTGTTTGAAGATCTCCCTGCCAGACTTCAGAGGCTTGAGAAAATCAATGAACTCTCGCGTTGCATGGTCGCTGTCCACGCAGGACTGCCGGCTTGAGGAGGAGCTTGGGCTTGGGCTGGACTGTGTATCAAAAGGAGCACCATCTGGTGGGGAAGACATTTAATGTTATTTCAATCAAAGCTGGAAACACAAACATTTTTTTATTGTGCTATGTGCTGCAGTGTGTGAAGGCATCAAGCTATAAATCGAGGGAAGTGGTTGAACTGAAAAGACAAACAGATCATTGAACTTGAGATTGGGAGACCACGGTCTGGTTTTGTTTCTTAATGTTTCAGTAAAACAGGTCCCCAAAACTGGTTCCATAAAAAATGAGGAACGACTTATACTATGAGAGCAAGCTGACATTGAGTCAAATTAATAATGATTGACATATATGACACAGATATCTCTTAATTTCTCACCAGTAATGGGAACTTTAAACATCATAAAGAACAGATGTTTAATAACTACCATTCTAACATCTGCATATATACTATACCTTTTTTTGGTGGTGTTTTTGTGGAAGGAATAAAAAACTTAGTGACTGTGTTAACTTTGCTGGACTTTTCCTTAGTTTTTCTTTCTTCAAACTTGCTGAAGGGTGTGATGGTAGGCTGTGATTGGGCCTTCTGATGTCTGCTTGCATATGCTTCCTCTTCCTCTCTCTGTAGCCTGGGAGGGAAAAGACAATACAGGTGTAATAGTTGTCAGATGGACAGATGAACACATTTTCGAATGATTGTACACAGGACACAAGAAAGAGAGACAGACAGACCTCTCAGCAAGTGCCCAGTCTTCTTGAATCTGTTTTTGCTTTTCTCGCTGATTTTCCTCTCGCCAGCACTTCGAGCACAGGCCCTGCCAAGCAGTGTTTCCATAAAAACCACATCCTTTCTTGCAAAGCAGCTCTGATTGGTCCAGATGGATCCCACGCCGCTGGCTCATCATTTTTCACCAAAGTCAGGAGGACTGCTGGGGGGGGACCAGAAGACCGAAACCTTTAAAAAACAAAGCCGTGAGTACGAACTGCAAATCAAGGACATAAACCGTGCATTGTCGTGCGTACAAAAAAAAGAAAACAAATCCCAGTGCTCATTATTACATTGAATCCATGCAAGATTGCTGACAAGTTTCTGCAGCGTTAACTTGTGACTGAGCTCCAAGTCCAAATCTCACTACACAACATTGATCAGACTAACCAGCTAATTGGGGTAAAACAGTAGTTTAAAACAGCAATTTAATGTAGACCGATCTAAAGAGTTGAATCAAGTCCTTGTCTGCTCTGGTTGGATTTATTTTTCGGAAGTTAATAAATTACATCAGGTGAAAGGAAAGAATATCAACTGGTTAGCTTTAGCTAGCTGATAGCCAGTGGCTGACTCTCACAGACGTCAACTGACAGAGCATTAACGCTAACTTTGAAACTTAGTATCTTTTCATAACAGCTTTGTGCCTTGGTTACAAGTACGTACTATCATTTCTGAAACATGGTTAAATTGTTTTTGTCACACCTAAAAACGCGAAATCAATAAGCTAATCTACAGCTAGCTACCAGTATTTACCTTAGCTATTTACAAAGACAAGCTAGGTAACGAGCTAAATTAACACCACGTTAATGAAGATACTCTGGGTTATGGATTTTGTGTCAACATACAGTCTTATTCGCAGTGCCAAAGCTATCGAGTAACGTTATCGTCGCTCCTGCTCCAGTGTACTATTAGTGGATGTTTACATTAGCCAGGCAGCTAGCTTTATCCCCAGCCATTTTGTCTGTCAGTTGTTTCTTCTTCGCTGATGTGTTTTCTTTTCTGGTATGCTATACATCAGGTGAAATGGTCTAGCGCCGACTAGTGTTGTCAAATTGTACCTGTCTCATGTTGTGCATGGTGAAGAAATGAGGCAGTGCAGCTCTTTGACTCCACCCCGTCTCTTGCCAACATCTGGAACTGGTGTTGCCAGATCGGGCGCTTTTCCGTTTTTTTCAAAAAATCAGGTTATAGCCTACTCTGGAGGTTTTCTCCGGAAGTTTTCAAACTGTAAGGGAGGCCCAGAGGGAGAGAAGTGGGGTGAAGATACTGTGAACTGAAAAGGACAGGTGCATGCAGGTGATCCATAAACAAAAGGAAGTTATGTAGTTTGGCTGCTTATCATCACCATAAACAGCTGCAGTAGCAGCAGTGGCAGTTATATGCGCAGGTCATAGAGGAGATTTTGGCTAAAACTATTAGTCAGAGTCATAACTCAAATTTGAACACCTAAACATGATACACATACTTTTAGATTTGTGTGATTTACACTTTCCGAGGATATCATTAATAGGTACATCGTCCATCGCAAATCCACATCAATGAACCCACTCAAATGAAAGTGGAAGGCGCTCCTTACAACAGTAGTACTTGCCTAAGAATGATGGGGTTTGTAAGTTTTCTTCAGTATAAAAGTTATTAATTGATACTTCTCAGTACATTCACGGGTACTTTGCAAACATTGAACTGCTAATAGAGATTTAGTTGTATTTAATTTTCCAAAATATAAACAAATAAATAAAAATGAATCAATTTATAGCCCACACCATGACTCACTGAATCCAGGGCAAATTATATCTTGTAAAAGATTATATCTGTTCATGTAGGTGATGTAAGTGAAGACTTTTAAAAACCATTTAAGCATACTGATATTTAAGATCATAATATATAGGATGGACTAAATAAAAATTAAACATTGGGCTGGTTATGCTCTGTTTGGGCTACCATGTCAGCCAAATCTGGTAACACAGGAACCAGGTTTTCATGTTATTGAAAACCTATGTTCAAAACAATTTACTTTAAAGTTAGTTGATGTGAACACAGGGTTTATGAGCAATGGTAGGTAAGAGGGTTGTTTTCTAAAAAAAGAAAATACTTTTCAAGCTGGCATAAAGGCAATTTATAGGTGTTTTGTTTTTTGTTTTTTAAGCTACATAACAGTAACGGAAACAATCTATCCAGAATATAAAATGACAATTCTTCTGGGGACCCATCTTAGTCCAGACCTCATTGAAGGAACGCAATCTGATTGTTAAGCATTCTGTTGAGGTCTGGATGAAGGTCCATATTTTGTAGAAGACTTCACAAACAGCATTATGCTTCGCTTTGGCTCATGCCAGAAGTACGAGTAGGGAAGCGGAGTGTTGGAAGCGATGGCTGGATAACAGAATACACACAATAGCCTAAGTTAAGCTACTATGCAAATTGAGCTTTTACACAACAACACAAATTATTAATTTATTAATTTAACTATATGTTTATCATTGAGGTTTGTAGTGGTGTTAGACTAAACTGCATTATATCTAACATGTTGCCCACCCTTTTTACAAGCAGAATATTAGATACACATTTCAAAATAATAAACACACACCTCTTAACAAAAACTGAGCATTATCTTTAAAAACGTCAAATTTGTGGCATCTCTTTTGTAATGTATTTCTTTAAATACTATAGGCTTGGGAGTGTATTTTCAATTCATGTTAAGAACCTTAAATCATGTTAAAAAGTGAAGTGAAAGAGTGTACTTTATTCATTTATTTGTCTTTTTTTTTTTTGACTCCATAATGGTTCCTCTAGGTAGGGGATTACCATGCTGTGGAGTGAGTTTGTGAACAGGGTGTCAAATCCTGTGATTATGCAGCTGCTGGATGACCTCGTGAGTGATGCTGTCTTGAATGATCAACAGAGAGAGTCAATACTTGAAGAGAACCCTACCAGAGCCGGTAAGGCACGCTGCCTCATTGACACAGTGAGGAGGAAGGGCGATGACACCAGCAGGAGGATGATTGCTCCCCTTCACAGAATAGATCCTATTCTTCACTCAGAACTGGGCCTGGGCCTTCTTTAACCAGGTGAGCTGGGATACTTAGTGCTGACAAACTAATGTTGTACTTCAAGTGTCAGTGAAAAGAACTGTGCATGTGCCTGCAGTTGGAAGAACTTGTTTAAAGGATAATTCTGGCATTACTTGATGTTTTACTTTATGTCAACAAATTCTATGAAAATACCAAAAATGAGCAAAGACCCAATGAAGACATAAATCTTTAAAAGTGTTCATTAATATCTTAAAACAGCTGGGCACTGTGGTTGTTTTGCAAAGTTACTCACAAGAGTAAATGCATTTTGTAAGGGACTATTTTCAGCTGTGGATTAATACACAGTTAATATTTACAGCACAATGTATGCAGGATTGACTCTAAGTAAACTACAGTGCCCATGTTCATTGTGATGAAAAACAAAAAAACAAAACAACCCGGTGCAGCATTATTGCTCACTGATGTGTGTTAAATTGTGTTTGAAAAACAATGGAACAGAGGAATAACAGGCAACACCTGATGGCAGTGATGTTGTTTTATTGTTTCCACAGTGTCTCAAGAGGAGCAGAAGTGGTCATTCACATTCATCTCCACTGCCGAGGCATTGTGGACAGAGAAGAATGAATGAAGAGTCACAACATTCAGCATCATGCAATTTTTAAAGCTGTTTTAGTTTACTGAGGTGTTCAGAATTCATTGCCAGATTGATTCTGACTATATAAGGTAAAAAAGTCTAGTTTTACTACCAAAGTACCATTAAGTTGGGTCTTGTCCTTGCACAAGTTGCATTCATATTCATATTCAAAATCTATACATATATAGTAATGCGCAGTATATACGAATGTATTCTGCACATGTTGGACTGGGCTCAATACATTTTCATTATTCAATATTCTTTCACATATAAAACTTTCTTGCAGCTTTAAACACTATAAATAAACAACCTATATGCTGTAGTAGGATACATTGTATCTGTTTATTCATATCGACAAGGAAACCACATGTAACAGGATTGAATGGTATTTTTCAGGGGGTAGTCAAGTTAAAAAATGTAAAACTATTTTGTGACAAATCTGATTGCCATGTAGTTCTTCCGAAACAAAAAGTACTGATTTATCTTTGTTGGTGGAGAGATACTGTATCTAGATAATGATGAAGTAAAGTATCTTAAAGTGTAATTACAACCACTTCCAGGGAGCCATACTAATTATATTTGCATAATGGTTTGTGAATGATGAATTACAATCCATTTGCAATAAAATAATTCTGTAATTTGTTTTCATTAATAAATTGTCTAAGAAAAATATAAATGTGTGCTTCATTGGCTTATACATTTTCATTTGGTGGTATCACTATGAAACTCTCCCGTTGATTATGCTGCGAAAAAGTTAGAGGAAGTTATTTATCATTTACACACAGAGGGTTTTAAAGCATGTATGGTTTCCTTAGATGGTTTCCATCTATTGTTGACCTGTCCACCTAGAGTGACCTGTTCATGCCCCCATAACAGAGGTGATTCACCTGATGCTTTTGATCCTGTATACTTTGTTTGGCCTCATGGTTTATTTTGCTTGTTTGTTATATTCAGTCAACTGGGTCAGTAGATTTTTGGTTGTTTAGTAGTTCAGTTGTTTATTTGCTTGTGATTATTTGTTTTGCATCAGCTTTTCTTTTGTAGTGAAGCTCGGTGCTTTGAGGTTGGGAGGCTAGGCTTTCCTGGTGAGGTCCCCGTGCATGCATGTAAGAGCACTTGCACACGAGTGTCATTTGGATCATGTTTGCTTTGAGGTTTGTTGTGCTGCACCTGAGGTGGGTAAGTGGTGGCAACCCTGGGCACTCCTCAGTTAGTCTGCGTCTTCACATGTTATGTTGGACTGTCATTTTAGGTATTTTAGCATTTATAAACTTAAGATTTAAGGCCTCTTGTTAAAAGTCTATAGGCCTACATGTAATAAAATAGTTTTGTCCCTTTATTGATTGTTGTGATTTTCACTTGCCCTTTAATACATTTTCTTATTCAGCAGTTCCAGACCCTGCTATTTAATATTTTTGGTTCTAATAAGATATATGGTTTTCAAAAACACATCTCTGTCTTGTCAGTAACGAGGTGTGTCCTTGCATCCATTTTATAAACATCTGAGGTTTTAAGATGGTATATCCTGGGGTGTGATTATCCAGGTGGCCTTTTAGGCTCCCTTTACCTAATGACAACTGTAATGTCTGTCGTTTAGTGTTTGTTCAAAATGAGGTAAACCATTAATACAGATCAAAGTGAGCAGGTCAGACCATAAAGATTTTTTAGACAGAATCTGATTTCCTCTGACTGAAAACCATACATTTTGTTGAAAACACATCATACTGATGGTCTAATAGTCAAATAGTTCGTGGAGGTGAAGCAGGAAAACCATGGGCGTAGCTGGCATGAGGCTTCTTCTCTACAGGAATGGAATAGTCAGGATCCTTAATTTCTCTCAATTTTCCTCAACCTGTCTTCACCTCACATCCCTTGCCTCACTTCCTTTGCTTTCCTCATCACTGATAGGCTCTTGTTCTGACCATTACCACTCCTCGTTTTTGAGTTCACTTAGTTACTCTTAATATAACATAAAAGCTTCACTCATTCATTCTTTTTCACCTTTGCATGGGATGGCATTTCTGGTTATAGAAGTTTATGTTAGTCTTTAGTTCTTATACTATGTCCATGTTAGTCTATAACTGATAACTTTATCCTTATTTCTTTAAGGACATATGAGACTAAGTTGATTTATTGTGTTAATCTTTAATCTCCATTTGCCCATGTGGGTTCTTCCTTCATGTTTAGAAATGCAATTCTTTTGAGATTTGAAAATAAACATTTAGTCAGAGGATTAAAGTTTCATGGCTTTGTTTTCCATGCATTCTGATATAATAATCTGATATAATACAGTTCAACAAC